GCGCAGAAGCAGAAGTAAAGCCGGAGGGCCAGATAGCCAGGGGCACTCGTTTCACTGGTCGGCTTACATAAGGCAAAAAGAAACTGGCAGAATCGCTGCATAACCGGGTTAGCTTGTAGAATCGATCACGTCTGACTAACTCGACTATGCTGATTCCAATTTCGTCGAGAAATGGGAGAAAATTTGGCCAAAAACCCAGAAATGGGCTAAAAACCGTATTTTCATCGAAAAAAAGACAACTTGCCCCGTTATCTCGTGTTTTAGCTGTATATTGTTAATTCACCCTAGATATTATTTATTTTAGGGCGTCTATGTCACTAATCGTTTAATGGTATATTTGGGGCTTCCACAGACCTTTTTCCTTACCAGTGAAACGAGTGCCCCTGGTTTTATGGGCCCCCGTAAGAAAAGAACACATTTTTACTGCTTGCATGCAAAAATTTCGAGATTTGAATAAGGACCCGAAGCTTACAAGGGAACCTCAAGTTGGCGCGGTGGAATTTCGAAAAACGCTCGCGGCTACCCCTAGGTTTTCGACTATGGCGATTCCAACGCTCTAGTCAGCTCTGCCTCTTCCTTCCTGCCCAGCTCTAACTTTCGGTTTTTACTATAAGAAAAATTTTTGGTTATGGCTCCAGGCTTACTACTCCAAAAAAGCCTGAAAAATTCGCAAAAATTATGCGAACAGCTGGGTGTTCCCATCTCCGTTTTTTTTTTTACAAATGGGTCGCTCGGATGAGATTGTTTGCATTTTTTGGCTTCGCTAAAGCTTTTTGACATTTCAGAAACAGAACGAGTTTTCAAAAAAAAAGAACCAAAACTGAGTTGGGCAGAAACTTCCGGTCAAAACGCAAAAACAAAAAATCGTGAGGGGGCTCGAACCCTGGTCAGTATCCTATCAAGTGAGTCGCCTACCACTCGGCCATTCAACTGGTGATTCCTATGTGATGGGAGAGCCTCATAAACCTATCGCTAATGCTAATTTTTCGGATTTAAATCACCATTTTCCGGAAGTGCTGTATCTCTGTCCAGAGGCCCATTAAGGAAATTCTGACTAGAGCGTTGGAATCGCCATAGTCGAAAACCTAGGGGTAGCCGCGAGCGTTTTTCGAAATTCCACCGCGCCAACTTGAGGTTCCCCTGTTAATCATATCCTCAGATTTGAGGCAGGATCTAATTTGAATAACCCCATCACTAAACATTGAGCTTTAAACATCGAAAAGTCGGCGGACTGTTGGCCGTCCCAAGTCCGCGGGCTTCGGACTAAAAGCCAACCCCAGTAGCCGTAACCATTGATTCGGCTTTAGCTCAGTCAAACCAAAAGCAAGATCCCGGCACGTGAGTCGATAGTCTTCGACCGTATCTACCCGACGGGCATCAACATCATAATCGCCCAGAATTACCCATCTGAAGCTGTTGTAAACAGCCAGGTCAGTATGGTGTAGTGTTGAACGGCACGGGAATCTGTCAAAATCTCGAAAATCAGGATCTCGCATTTTCAGAATAATGAAGCATTTTTTAATAAAAACTTTCAATGACATTTTTCCGCGCTGAAAATTATCATTTGAATTTTTATAGCTGCAACAAATAACTTTAGGGAACGTTTAGTACTTTTAGTTATTTAGCGGTTTAGTAATTATAGATAGACCAGATGGTTCCAGTCGCTTCGCGACTGCAACCATCTGGCCTTCGGGCTACCCTTCATGTCATACACCATCACATCCATCCCTACCTCTCCCAAAATACCCCGCTAATGGCTACCGATACCTCCCCTAGCCGAATTCCCGTTCCAAAACTACCTAAATACCTTTCTGAGGGCTTCAGATACTTTAAATGATTTAAATAACGAATTAACATAATTAAAAAGTATTAAAAAGTATTAAAGTAACTTAAAAAGCTATTTGGGCGCGGGAAGGGGCCTGGTGAAGAGGGGCCGGGGAAAGGGGGCGTGGCCAGCCGGGAGAGGGGCCCCACTCGTTTTATTAAGGCGCCACTTTCAAAGTTAATTTTAATAATTTAAATTATTACTTTTTCATAATTTTTTTATCAGTTTGGGGGTTTCTGACCATGCTCTATCCGAATCCGAAGAGAGCTAAGCTCTAGCTCCTTCCCCATTCGAGTTGAATCCGGGACATGACGGACAGACGGACACCTCAAGAAAATTATTATAGTAGATAGTTTATAGAGTATAAATAGATATAAAATTTAATAAATGTTGTAGGAATAAAACGTCTATTAAAAATTAGCATGTAGCAATGTATTTTCTTTTTAGACTTCAGCGGCACCCGGAATGAAGCGGAATGCGTGTTCCAGCCGCGAGAAGTACGAAAAAAAAGTGAAATGGTACTTCTAGTCTTTTTGTGTGATTTTTTTGTATGTTTTTTTATGTTTTAAAAATGAATTTTAACTTGTAATTAAATTGTTGTATATGTACTTTGAATTCTCGGTTATATAACCCTTTATATCTGGTAATAACAACCGAGTGGGTGTCCGCAGGGCCAGCCGGAGCACCAGAATGGTGCTCAAGGCACGGTCGGGCTCTGGGAGGCCTTGACGGTTGTGGCACCGCCGAGCCACAGCCGAACCCCAGGCACGGGCTTCCTTGAATTGAATCGTTTTGTTGGCGATAAAGCGTCGCCACCTGGCCCCTTCAAATCCGTTGTAATCACCCTAAACCGTTGCAACCCCCATTATTTAACTAATTTCCTCTGTCTAAACATTTTTGGCCATGTAAACCCCCTTAATTAGCATCGAAAAATCTAATTTGGTCACGGTTTTTCGGCCGTTTCCGGGCCGCGCGGCCGGCCGACATTTCGGCCGGCCGATTTCGCAAAAGCCGCGGCCGACCGATTTGCCATGTCTGCCCCTAGGTGCTTTTGAAAGCACCCCGGGGTGCTTTTTGGCGCACCTGAATGGAGGGGCGAGGTGCTTTCCAGTGCACCTCACTGAGCGGTGGGGTGCTTTCGATAGCGTTGGGAAATTTGCCCGGTCCGGTTTTGGCCCGAAATTCGGGTATGAAACCGGGCCGACCCCCCTCGGCCCGAAAACCGGGTCAACCCGGTTTTACTATGCGAGATAAAAGATGAACATCATTTTCGAGCAGTTCGCACAACTCGGCGCCAATCCGATTGCAACTCATTTGGGGGTCGTTTGGTAGCATTCCTTCGAGGTTGTTGAACACGGCGGACGATCTCGAGACGTTTTTTTTCTAACCGCGCTAGCAGCGTAAGGAAGCTTGATAGAATAGCTTCAGGCCGTTGAGAAGGTAGCATTTTAAACGCTCTTTCCAACGGTATACTTACCGTTCTTCAACACCGTCGGGGGACAGAGAGGGGAGCGTTTTAGTGCCGAAAGGTGTACCTGTCGAAGTTGTCGTCGCACTAAAACCATCATATCTCGATCTGCACTGGGACGCCTGGATCGAGAAGGGCATCAGTCGAAAGAGCGCGAAAAGTTCTATCTGCCCAACGAGTTTCAGCTCTTTAGCAGCTTTGCCCAGCCTGCTAGCGCTGTTAGAAAAAAAACGTCTCGAAATCGTCCGCCGTGTTCAACAACCTCGAAGGAATGTTCCCAAACGACCCCCAAATGAGTTGCAATCGGATTGGCGCCGAGTTGTGCGAACTGCTCGAAAATGATGTTCATCTTTTATCTTGCATAGTAAAACCGGGTTGACCCGGTTTTCGGGCCGAGAGAGGGTCGGCCCGGTTTTCGGGCGGCCCGAAAACCGGGTATACCCGAATTTCGGGCGGCCCGAAAACCGGACCGGGCAAATTGCCCAACACTAGCTTTCGAGGACAACACTCACCCCTCTCTAGGCCGGGGCGTTTTTTTCCACCCCCGGGGTGCTTTTTCGGGTGCTGCCCAACCAAACCAACACGGCAAAAACAAACACTAGTTGCAAACACGCGTGGCACTCGCAATTTTTTTGACCCGGGGTCGAACCGATCAAACTGGTGGAAGCTTCGCCGGGGCGCCGAGTTCCTACCCGACCGCCGTTTCGGCCCGGCTCGAACCCAACCCTAGGTTTAGTCAGAAAGGTCGAAACAAGAGGCTCGAGTTTCAGATACAGCCAACAATTCGTTGCAGTTACCATCGGCTTTGGACCGCAAGGGGAAGAATGAGACGCTGCGTGACATCCGCCTGAGATCATCTCCTCAGCCGCAACACCAATAATCTATTTCCTATTCTAAAAACTGTTATAAAAAGCTAGAATTCGTGTCCGAAACTTCCATTAGCTGAAAAGTCCCCATGTCGACATCTACTCGAGCAATTGCGCACCACGTGATCGGCACATTGACGCATTGAAAGCACGCTTCTCCTTCCAATACAGCCGGTCTCTGCGGTCTACACTAATGTTAATAGCCTATTGCTTTTTCACATCAAATAAAATTCAGTCACAAAAATTTTTATCTGCTCTTCCGCTCCTCGCGACACCGTATTTCCAGGCATTTTATTGGGGGTAAAAATAGGATAGGTATCGGGATAGGGATAGGAGATACGAGATAGGGAATTTCGGGATTGAGGAAACACCCCCAAAACAGACAAGTGATCCTTATCCAAGTTTTTTTTGGGGTCATTTTGGGCTACTTTTTTCACGGCAAATGCAGCGTAATGCTCTAGTCCCAGGCTAAGCGGAAGCGGAGTCAAATCGAGCTTGAACAGAGCTAAGCCAGCTATGAAAAGCTAAGCCACGGTGAGGGTATTTCTTATCACAGCGAAGTCTGAGCATAAACTAATCTGACAAGAGGACCAAAATGACCCCAAAAATTATGCCCCCCGAGCTCGAATAGTACCGACAAGTTCCCGAGGGATCTTCCGGATCGCAACAAATAGGAGATCATAAATTACGAAATAAAATGACAGTCAAGTCCGTGTAGCAGATAATAAAAATGAAGAAGATGAGAAAGGCCAACAAAAAACAAAACCGTACAATTTGGGATAGACAAGTTAAAAATACAAAAAAATGAACGTAAAACTTGTTTCCCTCCGATGTACGCTCAGTTGCGCAACGCCTCGAAGCTTGTGAAGACGGTGGCCAGGCACACCTAAATTTGGTTAGAATCTTCAAGAAAATCAGAAACTGCAATTCCAATCCCGTCGGCATTCATTACTAGGGAGACGCCTCCCCGGATACCATTCGTCAGTATCGCAGCTTTGCTCCGGAACAAAAATTAACACCGGGTGCTACGCGCGGATCCACTGGTTTAGGCCAGGATTTTGACCTGGCTCCCCGGGAAACCATCTGCTGGCTCCGCCGGTGTGCCCCGGGGTAGTCAATGATAACAATTGGCGCCATTAATAGAGGAGTTCGGTTATTTGAGGCTTCATGGCAATGCTTGTATATTTGTAAAAAACATGCTAAAAAATTTGTAATATGCTTATTGGCGACCACGATGTAACCAGGAGCACATACGGTTTCAGATATTCATCACCCCCTTTTGTTTCTAGGGCGGTAAATTTTTAATTATTCCCGAATACTGTTATTAAATTTAGCACAAATGGTCAAACAGGTTAAAATGAAGACTCTGAGTTGCATATTATACCGTGTAAGGACATGGCTGAATTCCTAAACATCGTTTGTGCAAGGAAGCGCTTTGCTAAGTCTTTAGGATGATTCTCAAATCCGTCTGAATAGCTTCATAAGTATAGTTCTGGTAGTCTTGTAAAACTCTCCATTTTCATATAAGCTGACTGAAAAAGAATATCAGACTTCGCTTAGGGCATGATCACTCGCTAATATGCGTTGTATACCGTATAATTATTATAATAGTAAATGTTGTAAAACATTCTTTTACAAATTCGAAAGAATTTCTACAAAACCTCAAACAACCGAACTCTTCCATTAATGGCGTGAAAATGTTATCATTGACTGCCCGGGGCACACCGGCGGAGCCAGCAGATGGGTTCCTGGGGAGCCGGGTCAAAATCCTGGCCTAAACCTCGGCGTCGGCTACGCGCAACTCTCCTCTGAGCATGCAATAGTGTGCGTATGACGAACAATGCCCCGAGGCGCCTCCTCGTAATGATAAGGCACAACCGGGTAGAAGAAATGGACGGTAATTTCAAAACTGCGAACCTCATAATCCGCACTGCCCCATTGCTCCGTAGCAAGCGCGAATTCGCGATTTTGGCCGACCATAAATCCATTTTCGTCGAGCATCTCGTGCCACTTTTCCGTTGTGGGAAGGGCGCCCACATGGAGGGAGCGGAATAAGAAGTAAAAGATCCTCATTGGCCACTCGATGTGTGGCTGGGCGCACGTGTCGTCGATAAGGTATGGTTGTACCGGACGTCGCTCGTCAAGGGCTCGTTCCAGGGCGCGTGAAAATTCGATTTGTAGCTGCTGTAAAAGCACAAATATGAAACATTACAAAACAAGTGCTCACCAAGAGTCCTTGAGGGAGGCATATAGCAAAAATCTCGCGCGTTGTTGGTGTGGGTCGATAACCAGCAGCAGTCAGCAGGGAGGATGTCGCTTCCCACGACACAGGCCTGACCGGCAGCATCATGCGGTTGACCAAGACCGCGCCAATCACGATCGTCACGTCCGAGAATTCCATCTGAAAAAAAATATATAATCCAAATAATGAGGCAAAAACTGTTAAAGAAAAACCCCCGGTTTTAATAAAAAGCGTGACACTGCTGCTCTAGGATTAAAAATGGGTGAGAGGCCTAGAAACTCAAGCGCTTCTTCCAAAAAAAAGCTAAAAAAACCAACGAGGCTATCAATATCTCCAAAATCAAATCAATCAATGGCATCAAAAATTCGCAAGCGTCGCAAATAATCGTTGTTGATTTCCGTACGATCCTATTGGCGCAGGGGGGTCCAACGTTTAGCATGCAACGCCGGTTATCCCCCATCGATGCTGATTATTCGCAAAGGTTTTCAACAGCTATTGTAGTCTATTTCCTTTTTTATGCATCTTCAATGTGGTTCAAAACTTAATTAATGTCCCATTTGCAGGTAATCACTTTGTAAAAACATCATGCTATCTTTGACCCACAAATTGGCCCAAAAAACCACTTTTTCTACGCTGAAAACTGATTCAAAATAGCTATTACTAGTTTTTCTTTGTTGATTGCATGGTTTCATTCTCAAAATCAGTATCAAAACCTGAAAAGCATTGATTGCCATCACCTAGTGCCGCGGGCGATCGGCGCCCGTCAGTAGAAAGGCCTCTGAAGACCCCCCATGCCGCCCTTTTTGTCGAGTTCGACCCCTCTATGCAAAAATTTTTTGCCTTTTCTCTCCTTATAATGAATAGGCTTTTTGATTAGTTTTCTGACTTTTGAAAACCCTCAAAGTAAAAAAAAAGTGGAATGAGTGGAAAAAAGAAGAGAAGAGACTTTGCTAGCGAGTATCAACGAGAAAATTCGTTAAAAAGTTACAAGAATTCAAAGAAACAAGAGAAAACAGTTGCGAATTGTGAGGCAGAAGCTGCACGACGATCCTCATCTGCCTGCCCGCATCGATTACAGTCGTAGTTTTATAATTCCAGTTTTCTAAAAGTTTATGTGCAATAATTCATAATGTATAAAGGCTTTATTCGTCGTGTCTGTATATTTTAATCAGAAATAAAGAATAAATTATTTAAGATTTCAGGACATTTTCGATGGCGGCGCTTCAGAGATGTCGGAATTGGAGCGAGCACTCGGTGTCCGTCTCCACCGATCTGTCTTCTATAGGCCGGCTATCAGCCTCCCTAGCAAAAGCCCTGTTTTTGGGCCCCGGTATGCGTCTAACAATCGAAATTTAGCAATAGAAAACCTTTCAATTGGTTTAAATTCATATATTTTAATATCTTTCAGTCGCTGCTCCGCTGGCGAACAAGTGCTCAATGTCGATCGGGAGGTGAAGCCAGCAGCTGTGCCCCTTCTTGGTCTTGAGTCGGCTCTATCGTCGTCTGCGTATCTGCCGCGTTGATACGCGGACAGGTACATCGATAATCATGTCGGCGCACTAATGGTAAGCACCCCCCCAAAAACTCCAAACTATTCTACCCTAAGCTAGAAGAAGCCGCGCTTGAGTTTCTGGATACCCTCGATCGCTTTTCAATAAACTACTACTGGTACTAGTACTATCGCGGCTAAACACGAACCACGTAAGGCCGCCCTCCAAGCAGCCGGCCGGCGGGTAGCCACTGTCCGCTCGGCCTCGTCACCATCATGCGCCATCCACCTGAAAAAAAACTTTTAAAGTGATAAATTGATTGGGTTAAGTGGTTGTTTTCTAGGAAGAATGAAAGAAGCAGGAGGCTAGCATAGACTATTGTGGAATCAGCCAAACCAAAAGCTCTACGCAGTAAACTACGTCTCAGAATGAAGCCTAAGTCTAAACTCCGCAAAGTCTCTCTCAAGCTAAGCCAAGCTTCCTTTAAAGCCAGGCCAATGTTTGGACTTAAGCCAAGCAAAGCAGAGATGAAGCTAAGTCACGCCGATACTGAAGCTGAAAAACAAAGCAAACGAAGCAAACGAAGCAAACGAAGCGAAGCCTAGAATAGCGACCTTTGTTTTTGGACAACTACTACTCTTAGCTTAACAAACACGAACCTTGATCTCATCAAACTCATCAAGCACGACCGTCGGGTAAGGAAATTCCGATCGGCCGTCCCGTCGTCGTCGGCGAGTCCGTCGGGTTATTAGCTTCCGATCGGACCGCAACAACTTGACCAAACCTGGAAGAGAAACATTTTTAAAGCTACTGCTGCTAAACACGAACCACGTAACGCCGCCCTCGTAGCAGCCGGCCGGCGGGTCGCCAGTTTCCGCACGGCCTCGTCACCATCTTGCGCCAGTACAGCCATCTGCACGGTCGCTAGCTGAAAAAGAAACATTTTGAAAGTGATAAATTGATTGGATTAAGGTGTTGTTTTCTAGAAATCTACTAGGAAAAGCTTGAGTAATCGTGGAGAAAGATGGGCAGGAGGCTAGCATAGACTATTGTGGAATCAGCAAAGACAAACGCACTACGCTGTAAACTACGTCTAAGAATGCAACATAAGCCTGAACTTAAGCCTCATCTAAAGTAATGCAAAGTCTGGCCCAAGCTAAGCCAAGCTTCCTTTAAAGCCAGGCTAAATTTGGGCTTAAGCCAAGTCATCCCGCTAATGAAGCCGAAAAACGAAGCTAACGAAGCAAACGAAGCGAAGCCTAGAATAGAGAGCTTTGTTTTTGGACAACTACTACTCTTAGCTTAACAAACACGAACCTTGATCTCTTCAAGTACTTCAAGCGGGACCGTCGGGATTTTAATGTCCGATCGGCCCACCACCACATCAGAAAGACGACGAGACCGTGGATCAATTCCCCGCTCACGAGCAGCAATCTCAGCCGGAAGTTCGAATGCGTCCCAGCCACTCTGACCCAGTAACTAAATACGAAATATATTTGCAGAGAAAAACAAAGATTTACCTCCTATCCGGCCAGTCGATAACATTCTGTGAGAACATCGGAAGGTGTGTACACTTGCGACCGGGAGATGATCAATGCGAAGACGGCCAGATGGAGACGGAAACATTGCCAGAATAGACCTAGACAAAGGAAATAAAGGATCAAATAAAACCACAAACTTGAAATTGTTCGTCTCCTTCGCTCGCTTCGTCGAATTGCAGCAATTTTCGGGTCGATCCGGTCCTTCCTATGATTTTCGAGAGCCTTCCGATGCTGAGAGAATCGGATGGAGCTGTTCTGAAAAGAAGCAAATCTTCATAGTGCCCAAATAATAACCTAACCGTTGATATTGCTGGTTCCGGGTGCGTGGCACTTGATGCGGCACATTGCAGCCATTGCAGACCGTTTCCGGATCTTTCGATTGAGAAGCCAAGTCGAGCAGTCCGTCCGAGAATTTCTGAAAAGACACCATTAAACGAGGGAATAATGCCAAAAAATACCTTTGCATGTTTTGGGGGCCTCACTCAATCCACTGTCTCAATGTCCTCTTCTCAGCCACGGCTCCACTTCTCCGGCCTTTCCCATCAACATCAATTTCTTCATCAGCCAGCACTGTCTCATCGACCGGATCCCAGCGTATTTCTCTTGTCGTCGATTTGAGCTGGGCACCCATCGAGATCTGATCTGTAAAATCAAATCATGGTGTAAACAAGAGAAAAACGAACGTTTCTGTCGATGCGCGTGGAACGATCCACCGTCGCGAGCAGAGTGGCTTCGGATGCGAGGTACTTTGGCCGTCACATTGCAGCGGAGCAGGCTAATTCCCCAAGTTTTCTGAAAAGAATTAATATTTATTGAAAGCGTATTGACAAAGAAAACGCGATGAAATTCAAAAGAAAAAAAATCGGACCGAAAATGTGGGTCAAATTCAATATTTGAAAGCTTACAAAAATGGTGTTTCGCGGTCTGCGTCCTCTCACTCTCACCCACTATCTCTCCCCCGAGACAAGGCCCCGCCCCCTTTTTGACCCCCCCAATCCCCGCCTTTTCTCGCCTTTTTTTGCAAATGTTTCAGGATCAAAAAATTCAGAAAATTCTACAATTGATAGATTCGATTTGCTGAGTCGATTTTGTATCATTCGGCAGATGGCCGCCATAAAAAACAACCGGAAACACCGGCAATAGCTAGCGCAAACTCAAAACTCAATATTTCAGACTCCGATCGTGCTCAAATTTGGTGGAAAACTCAAATAAAAGATGGGCAACACGATCCAATAAAAATTTTCTGCTATTGGCTGCTTTTGTTTAACAAAAATATCATTTGATGAGAAAATTGACCAAAAATTTTAATTTTCGAATTTAACAACAAAGAACAAAAATTTTATAACTTGTTTTTACAATGCTTTTAGTACGTTTTAAATATTTTTAAAGCAGAAAAACTATCAAAAACAGTTAGAACAAATCCTTGAAACGTCGAAAATTTGGCCGTTTTAGTTCAAAAAATAAAATTTTTGACTTAAAACGAAGTTTTTAATGAAAATTTGTAAAGTTTTTTACGCGTAGGAATAGCTAAAAATAATGTAGAAAAGTTACCGCCAATTATAAAAATTTTAGGCTTGGCCAAAAAAAGTTGGTTCCCCCTTCCGCCGCAAATCCTAAAGAACCACAATTTTCGAAAATTTTACTTCTGAGAATCGGCTTCTGAAAAAACTTGTCATTTTTTATGGGGATCGGGGGATCAATTCAGCAACTTTTCCAAACATTTCCTCATAACCAAAACGTCAAAAAAAACTGAATATTCTCCAAAACCACTATGCCATTTTCGATAATAATTCTCCGTCACCCGACCCAATTAGATTTAGATGAAATTCGCTAATTTTCCAGCTCGAAACTGGGACTTTGTAAAGTGACTGTGGGAGTTGGTTGGGGTGTCGCATTCCTTTTCCCACCGCTTGGCTGGCCGGCCAGGGTATCAAGAGCCTTTTCCCGCGACCCTCTCCCATCTGAGCTGTGGTGTAGTGGATGCGAGCGCTGTCTACCGAGCTGTGGATCGGGGGTTCGTATCCCCCGACAAACGCAGCTTTTTGCTTTTTCGTAGTCCAACAACAAAACATATTTCTAGGCTGCCAGTGTGTGGGATTCAGGCCCCGCTTTCGTTCTGGCGCCACAGGCCAATGGATTCTTCGGTTCTTGACACTACACTCGCGCGCCGCAGCAGTAAAGAAAAAGAAAAAGCAGTTCCTAGAAAAAGCAGTAGCTAGCGCCGCAGGCTCAGAGATTCTAGCCTAACGCTCGCTCTGGCGCTACAGGGTTCAAAAAAAGAAAGGGAATTCATGATTTTTACACGGTGTCCAGTGGAAAATGCCCGCGAAGCGGTATTTTTGCACTGTTTATGATATATAAAAGGTATTTTTGAAATACAGCCCAATATTTGGGGTCAGGCGTCGAAACGCTGTCATTCTCTTCTCGTCGTCCTTTGTATTTTCAGAATTGACAACGCATTTTACGAATGGATAAAATGTGTTTATTGATGAGAGAAAGAGGGAGAGAGAGCAGGGAATTAAAGCCAAATCGATGAAATAACGGGGGGGGGGGAATAATGAGGATTAGTATTTACAGGCCAAAGCACGAATTCTCAACAATTATTCGCCAGCTGAAAATGCGAAAAAAACGACAAAAAGAAGAAGGGGAAAAGGATAAAGCTCGATCGGGAGAACCGGATGGAAATGGACAAGGGGGGAGGGAAGACAAACAAAATGGGGGTACTGTCGAAAAGAGATTTTGAAGGTTGTAGGCATGGGGGAAAAGCGGAAAACGACAGATTGTACTATTTCCCGAAAGGTTGAGATGAAAAATGAGGAGGGAAGAGCAAGAAATGGTACAAAAGAAGAGGCGAATAGCCAGCAGCCAACGAAAAGCACAACCTACGCTGTACACCTAAAGACACTTGGAAGGGAAAGGAGGGGGGCGGGGCTATGAAGTGGCGGCAGTGGCCGTGGGGACATGCGCTGCTCCTGCTGTTGCTCCTCCAGCTGCTGTGGCTGCTACTCCTCCAAAATGAGCCGTTCTCAGCCATGCATCAACCTTCGAATCACAGCTCACATCCGGCCATAGCGATGATGAAGTGGAAGCGAATTGCGACGAAAGCTGCAAAAATAACAATGCATTACGCCATGGAAATGAGGAGGGGGCGGGGCTTGGGAGAAATAATGACCGCTGTCAAACAAAAAGAAACGCGCGAAAATGAGGACCGGAACCCGGGGAAAGCACGAATTTATGGGTGCTAATGCAGTTACGGGGGGGGGCTGTCCAAAATTTGCAGTAAGAGGCTACGAGCCGCTCCGCTTAAGCTACTTGGCTTTTAGCCTAAGCTTAGGCCTTTCCAGAGGCTTACGGTTTAATAAACGGCATTTGGAGCGTCTCGTAGTTAAAATCCGGACAGCCCCCCAAGTGCATTAGCACCAAATTATGCATCAAACTGCCAATTTTGAGCCCAAAAAAACGGATCGCTACGCGACACTACGAACGAACGGAGGGCGGAGTGTTGCGGAACTTTGAAGGTGAAAATTCGGGTCCGAGAGAGATAGCACCGGAAAAGAGAGATACGCGACGCGTTAGGGGGAAGGATAAATGAGAGAGAGATTGAGAATGCATAAACAGATACAACTGACCATCCGCTTGACTTGTTCTCGCTTGTTTCGCGTCATTTTGAGGGGATCTTCTGGCTGTCGTGAAGGGAACATCTTCTTCTGCAGGGACGACGACTGGAAACAGGACAGGGATTATGAGGGGAGAGAGAGAGAGAGAGAGAGAGAGAGAGAGAGAGAGAGAAAGAAGGAGAGAGGCAGAGAAGAAGGATACCTCTGTCGAATCGTGCGTGCTACATTCAGCGTCATCAGTTGTTGAGCGTAGTCGTTCGTTTGTCACGTCTTGCTCGATGGATGTTCTTCTCGACGATGAGAGACTCTCCTGAAAAAAAAAAGATAAAACAAAAGAAAAAAGGTATAAAATCGTTTTCGAAGCACTGTTTTTTTGGCGACGCGCCGCTTCTGGGCAGAATTCCAGCAAAAATTCGCGAATTTTTGAGAATTAGGCAAGACGCAGCTCAGAGAAATGTTCTTCCGAATAATTTGATGGTCGTGGAAAATTTGAAGTTAATTTTGGAGGTTTTGCAGAATAAAATAGTTTCGAAAGTGCTTTCGCTACTCGAAACGTTTGGGGGCTGGAGGCTCGAAATCCGCGTAAATTTCTTTGTTGACTATTTTCATTCGAAAAATCGATATTTTTTGGTATTTCTTAATCAAAAATTGTAAAGTTCTAACGTCTAGGAAATAAAAATAATATTAAAAATAAATAAACAGATAAAGTAAAAATAAAAATAAATTAAAAAATATATTAAAAAGCCGTCTAGAAACACTTGCCCTATTTCTATTTTTATTTCTGTCTATTTCTATTCGAAGCACAGAATAAATGTACCTGTTGGGCAAGTGCGGCTGCATTGTTGACGGGTTGCTGTATTTTGGGGGTGATATCGTCATGGCTACGCGATCGATTGACGGCACGAATCGTTTGATGACCCGATTGAGGAGGCGGCGTGGCCGGCCATGCGTCCATTCCATCAGCATCACTGCTCGTTGGCCCCCCATCAGGTGCAGTAGTAGCTGAACAAGCTGCCGCGACGACGACATCAAGATGGGCGAGTTCGGGTATTGGATGAAGAACAACAGCAGCCGTCATCACTCCCTCTTTCGCGGCAATCATTCCACGATGGCCATGATGGTGTTGGTGTTGTTGTTGTTGGTTGTTGCCATGATGAGCATCTCCAGCCGATTGAGCACCAGATTGAGCAGCAGCAGAGGAGGGGGAGGGTATTCCAGCTGTCGTACATCCATTTCCGGCCGCGCGCATCCGTCCACCGCCCATTGTGCTGCCGCCTGCAAAAAAACACGGTTCTTTTGCATTATCGGGGGGAGGATTTTTTTATTATAAAACCGTCAATATTTTTCCGCTCTTTTCAATTTCAGGCAGAAAAATCGAAAGGCGCGGAAAAGGTGACGTAATCAATTCGCAACTCCCAAATGGCCTCTGCTAGCCTGCCCGAAAAGATTGGAAAATTCCCAGAAAACGAAAGACGATATTTGAGAATTATATGCCGTAATCGATTACGCCATATCATTCGAAGCGCGGCATTCTTTATCAAGACAGCAACACATGATTCCGCGGTGTTCGTGAGTAGGCTGGCGGATAGTGCGCCAGACGGCGGGGCGCAGACACACAGGGGAGGGGTGGGGCGCGGAATAGGCGGCGAAAGAGTGAGACTAGACTATAGGGCACGGGGGAAGAGAACAGGGGGCGGGGCCAGAGCGCAGATTCTCCCTTCCCCTGTATGCCTGCCATCCTGTCCCGGTCAAACGAACACAACTGGTACAGGGCGGAATGCTGTGAGCAAAAAGTTGGCAAAAACGGCGAAAATGACGGCGTAATCGATTCGGCGCTCCTAAATGGCCTCTGCTAGGTTGCCGATGTGGAGAAGCGAGCAAAGGCCATTTCGGAGCCGCCAACCGGTTACGCCACCTTTTTAAAGGGAATTTTCTGTTCATATTTCGGATATAACAAAGTGGAGAATCGGGGAATTAGATGTCGTAATTGATTCCCGGTTCCAAAATGGCCTTTGCTAGCCAGCCAGACACGACTAGTCCCTGATCCTCGAAATCCCTGGCAAGCTAGCAAAGACCATTGGCGGGCAGCAATCGATTACGCCATCTAATCCCGAATTCGAAACCTGAAAATCGACCGAAACAACGGTGGCAATGGCGTAATCAATTAGCAGCTCCCAAATGGCCTTTGCTAGCATGCCCGATACGGTCATTTCAACAGCCGGCAGATCCCTGGCAAGCTAGCAAAGGCAATTTGAGAGAGGGGGGTGCAGCAATGGATTACGACAGGAATATGGAGTGTGCCGTGTGTGAAAGGGTAGATAGATACCTTGTCGGTGATCATCATCATCATCATCATGGCTTCTCCTCCTTCTATTCATATCCAATCCACGTGTACATCTCCCAGCACCCATCAGAAGACGGGCTCGATTCCGTTCCTCATCGTCGGATGCTTCTGATGATGAACAGCTGAAAAAGAGAATTCGATTCATCGGCCTGGGAAATCACAATGAAAGAGATCTGGTCATTAAAGGGACGGCCAAGGCATGGTTCTATCGATTTTCCAAGGTGTCGATTTTTGGCTAGAACGGCAGGACGACAACGGCTAGACCAAATTTTTTTCGGCAAGAGCCGAATTTTTTTTATGAATTGCGGATGCATTTCTAAATTGTTTTCAACTATTCCTGAGCATAAAAACTACACACATTTTAATTAAAAAAAATCAAATTTAAGTCGAAAAATCCTAAAGCAGCCCGAGGAATAGCGGGGGGAGAAGGACCCGAAATGACCAAATTTTCGACTTTTTCAAACATTTTTCTAACTTTTTTTGAAAGTTTTTCTAGTTTAAATATAGTTAAAATTCACTAAAAACATTGTAAAAAACACCGGGATCGCCAGGAAAAAAAATTGGAAAAAACCTTTCGGCTTGGCCGTATTTCGAAAATAATCGCCGCTCTAGTGGAAAAAGCAAAAGATTTTGCACCATTTCGTAAAAAAACGTTTTATATAATGAATTGTTGGGAGCGTTTTCTATAGCTTCGATTTCTTTTTTGCATCGCGTAATGGATTCGACGGGCGCGTACGCGTGAATGGACGCGCCGTGTGATGGTCGGCAATTCACGCGGACCGAGACCCGAAAACCGACAATTCAATAGTTAGAGGGTTAGCCAGATGCCAAAAAGGTCACTAGATAGGTTTTTTTTGTTAAGGTACGTGCCAAAATCGAGGTGGAAAGGCTAGGCGTGTCAGAAGACAGGTTAGTCTCAATCTCTTTTACCAGCAGCATTTTGGCCTAAATTCCCGATTTAAAGGGACCGGCAAGGCAGGGCTTTTTGGCGCGGAGTCGACACGCGGCGCACGTCAGATTTTTCATCGCGTAATGCATTGCGCGTCGTTTATCAAGAGAAATCCACAAAGGGCAGCCTTGCCAGTCCCTTTAAAATAAGAAACGTTCAGGGCGTCCCAATCAAATAGGTCACGCTGGCATTTTGTCATTTCAAATCCGATCGACTTGAAATTTTCACCAGATGTGCGGAAGGGAATTAAAAATGTTCACAGAAATTTTCAGTACGATAGGTCCAGTAATTTGCTAGTTACATTATTTTGGTTTTTCACCTGAATTTCGCCGGAATTGAGCCTTGGAAAGCATCGCGAAAACGAAGCGCAGGCCTTTTTTATCCTGGGAATTTTTTTTACTTCGCAAAATTCGGTTTGAAAATGGGCTATTGAAGGATTTTTACCAAAGGTATGACCGAAGTCGATGTTAAGGGAAAAACGAGGATCAAAACCGGAATTTAATGTCGATTAATTAAAATTTCAAAAAGCGCCGAAAAAATGAAGCAAAAACACGGTGGAAAATCGTATTTTTTTGCAATAACTGGTAGACTACTGTAGCCAAGGGGGGCTGAAAGTTTCTGTGAACATTTTGAATTCCCTGTTCTGCCCGTCTGTTCAAAATTTCGAGTTGGTCGGATTCGAAATGGGGAAAATGCGAGCGTGACGCCCCGTATTGTGGGATGGGCACCTGGTAGATCGTCGACTGTTCTGTAGAAAGAATCGTGGCGGTGGTGGCTGGGTGGATGTGGAGGGGAGGATGGCTGTGAGTGGCGGCTCTTCGTCTCGTGCTCCCTCATCTCGTGCTCCCTCATCTCGTGCTCCATCGGCTGATGCTGCTCCCTTCGGACTCTCATATCTTCTCAATACATCTGGAGAGACGATCGCTTGTCGGGGGCGAATCATTCGAACCGAACTAGAAAAGGGCACACACATTCCAGGGAGGGGAATCTCTCAAAATATCGAAAATCAGAAGCTCGAATTTTGCGGAATCTCGGAATATGCTGGATTCAGGGCGTAGGTGTACAATTTCCGGAGCCTTTAATGCTCATTTAAACCATGGAAATTTGAAGATTCTGAAAATTCGCGGTTTTAAAAATTCGAGATTCTGAAAATTCGAAATTTCGAAAATTTGAGATTCTGATTTTCGAGATTCTGATAGATTCCAGGGCGGCGATTGATTCATTCAGAAAAAGATAGGTCAGTGATTTGTGCTGGTACTGGACTCTTAGCGGGGGGGGACCCAATTTCCCGTAATCCCGTACGGCTTTCAAACCAAAAATAAACCATTTTCTACAGTTTTTCGATAGAAACAGCCCACGAAAATTATCACAGAATTCGCCTGTAATTTTAGCATAATATTTTAATAACAATTTTACCATAAACTAAATTCCCACACAAAACAAATATTGGACTTTTTGGTTAAAATTTGGAAAACAAAAATTCACTGTCGAATCGAATTTTATATTAAACCACCCCCCCCCCCCCGATAACAGCCCAGTACCTTTGTTTTTTAGAAGGTCAATCCAGTCGAGATTAGAATAATCACGGCACACCAAGTGACGGGCAAGAAACGAGCATTTCCGCAAAGGGCTCCTGCTAGCCTGTCGATTCTTTCGCATTATCGGGGGGGACAACTATTTCAATAGTGTTTTTAGTAAAGTTTAACCATTTTTCAAGTGGCAAAACCATCGGAAAAAAACTTAGAAAAATATTCACGTGAAATTTTGGTCGAAAAAGCCAGATATTTGGGGTTTTTTTTTTTTTGAAAACAAAATTTGCAAAGATTTTTCGCTTATGAATGGCAAAAAAAAATAGCTGAGATTACTAATAATTCTTTTTCCTTCCTGTATTTCTATTCGAAAAATTGGATCCGTTGGGCGAAAAGTAGGTCCCCACCGATAATGCGAAAGAACCAGCCTGCCATTTCCTAAAAAATCTCCGCTAGTCTACCAATTTCATTTCCCAAAACTTCACTGATAGCCTGGAATTCCAGAAGAATTTCTGCTAGCCTGCCATAATCCGCGGTCTCTTTTTCCGCCCTTAGCTAGCGCGAAGAGAATTTCTACTCGGCAGAAAGCAAATCTACAACATTTCTAAACCCGAAAAACCCTCGAAATTCAGGGAAATACAGTTAAACGCCCAAAACCCGTGAAAGTTTCTACGAAAGTGAAACTAAAAAAAGGGAGAAGGATGGGGATTTCTAAGAAAATTTGTATTTTTAAGCAAGAGAAAGCGAGAGTGAGTGAGAGAGAGATAAAGCGAGAGAGAGAGAGGGAAAGAGAGAGAGAGAGAGAGAGAGAGACGAGAGAGAGAGAGAGAGAGAGAGAGAGAGAGAGAGAGAGAGAGAGAAAGATACCTGTATGTGGGTTGTTGACCGGCACTCTTTGATGAGATGAGACGATGCCGAGGGCCCACAATGACCAATCCTGTCGAAGCGGAACTGGAAAATACACATATCGAAATAACAGCACGACATACAGTAGCGGCCAAAAAGTTCTCAGGTCAGAAAAACGTCTGTATCTCGAACGCCCTAGCTCTAAATTTTATGAAAATTTGATTCTAGGTCAACTAGGCAACGGGAAATCTAATGACGCTAATAAACTGCGGCGATTTTTTCATTTTAATGGTTAAATTGGCAGTTTTAAATATTCGGTTACAATAACATTATAGCAGTATATTTAAAACTGTCAATTTAACCATTAAACTGAAAAAATTAGCCGGATTTGGATGTGGGCATCGGATTCCCCGTTGCTTAGCGTTGCATTGCATGGTTTCACAAGATTTAACGCTAGGTAAAAGTTAGGTTAAAATTTAACTAGATGTAAAGTGGAAAAACAATAGGAAAAACCAAGAAGTTTCCAGATTTTTCCCGAAAATTGACAATTTTTCCTCGAAAAATCGATATTTCTGTATTTTAATCAAAATTTGTACAGTTTTTGAGCTTAGAAATCGTAGAAACCGTTTAGAAGCATTTCCGGTATCTATATTTCAGAAATTTAACGTTCAGAAAAAATTGCGGAGCACCAGTTACGCGTTGTAAATGGCGTAGGAAACGGACCGATTGGCCCTAGGGGTTGGTGGTTGTGTTGCATCATTGTTGGTGTGTAGTAGAAGAGATGAATGTCCACTCGTTCCACCACTGCCCCCTCCTTGATGATGATGATGATGGCCAGGTGATGATGATGATTGGCTGTTGTCCATCAATTCTTCGCCCTCTTCGCAGATACCTACAAATCCAGAGAATTCATCGAATATCATCGGGGGTATACCCAATAAATGTGGAGATGACGACAGCTTTCGCATTCCACCGATTGTACACGACGTCTTGAAGCGGGACAGCGACAGGCTCGACATTGCTGCAAAAAATGGGTATAATGCGAGCCAGGTTGAGTACATTTGATTTGGCCAGCCTGGGCGAGAGAGAGAGAGAGAGAGAGAGAGAGAGAGAGAGACGCGAGAGAGAGTGCGGTTCATTTTTGCATTTTTTATCAAAATTTGTAGTTTTTACGTTTTTAAAAAAAAACCGAAAATAATCGAAAAAGCGAATCCTTCGAAAAATAGTTTGTCCCGCTGGATTTTTGGCCCCGGAAAAGCTGAAATGGAAAAAATGATTCCGGATTGCGGACGGGAATTGAGGGCAATTCCAAAAATATAACCAGGAAATTTGCTGGATTTTTTGCTTCGGCAAGGCTGAAATTAATTAAAAGCGACGAGTTGGCAACTAGCTTCGAGCGGAAACTCCAAATTGCGGGCGGGGGATTCGAATGGGTGGGGGCAGAAATGGGGCGCGCGTGAAAACGTTGTGTTACAGGCGTTTTTTAACCCATCGAATCACATCTGCCCGAATTGCATCCCATCGAAATTACGACTCATCGAAATTACAACCCCTCGAAATATCGGTTTTTGTCAACCAAATTTTTTTCGGTCAAGCCTAATTTGTTTTATAAATAGCGGATGCGTTACTAAATGGTTTTGAACTATTTCTAAGCATAAAAACTATACAAATTTTCATTAAAAAATTTAATTTCAGGTCGAGACACTGATTTTTTGCCCAAGAATGACTAAAATTGGACTGGGCAAAAATTGGTATTTTTTTGAAAATTCGATTAGCTGACATTTCTATGAGTCGTAGTTTCGATGATTCGTAATATCGATGGGATGCAATTCTGGCAGATGTGATTCGATGGGATGATAGCAAATCTGTGCCACATACATGGTGATGTTCGTCCACTGCTCGATGCGGGTGGTGATGGTGATCGACTGCTTCGGACACTATCTGGAGATGCGGCACGACGCATCGGTTTCACCACCTCCAGCAGATCTGCAATACAAAACATTATCATGGGGGGAGGAGGAGGGAATTCTCTCAGGTCCGTGCATCCACCCGAAATCCACCCGGATTGCTGCCGGAATTCTGATCGCGTCCGAGAGCAAGTGGAAATCGACCGGATCTCGATTGGAAACCGGGCGGATATCGACTGGAGTCCACCTGTCCGCCCAGAATCCGCTGGGAATCCACCCGGTTTCCAATCGAAATCCGGGCGATTTCCACCTGCTCTCGGACGAGATCGGAATTCCGGCAGCAATCCGGGTGGATGCACGGAACTAAGCTCGAGAGCTCCGATAAAAACCAAATTACCCTGAATCCCGTGGGCATACTGTGGGGAGAGACGATCGCGTACACTTCCGCCAAACATTGACATCGCAGGGGAGGAATTCCTGAAAAAGAAATGGAATTAGTACATTAACGGGGGGGGGGTAAAAAGCTGGTTAGGCAGGGGGGGGAGGGGTAAGCGAAGGATGGACGACATAACAGAGAAATCGGGGGCGGCAAGCAGCAGCACATAGAGACAACATGCTCGACACGTTCACCACATCTGCTCAGGGACTCTGCTAGTTGTCGCCAAAAAAACCTACTAGCCCGCCGGATCCCACAAAAAGTAGCTTTTTTCAAACGGCCTGCTTCAGGGTGTCGCAGAAAAGAATTACGGCCATAACGCCGAATTTTATAATCCCGAATTCTCATAATCCCGAATGTTAAAGACTACCAGAAGGATGGAACGCGCACTGTCACCCCGAGGGTGCTGCCCCCAAGAACGCGCGGAGAGATGCGTCATTAGTGGTGCCCCGTACTGGGCAAAGGCCCCTGGGGTTTGGGGCGTCTCTGACTCCCTTCCCCACTTGGCCCTGTGGTGTAGTGGCTAGCGCGTCGGACTGTGGAGCGAACCATCGCGGGTTCGACTCCCGCCCGGTGCGCAACTTTCTTGCTCTCAACGGAATTTCATCGTTCTGACGGTCTTTAAAAGGGCGCATTTTGGAACGACGAAATTTTTACCTTTTTTCGCCATTTTTCATACATTTTTGACCAAAATTTTTTAGTTTAGTGGGGGACTTTTAGTGGGGGGGCCATTTTTTGCCCAGTACGACCTTATAACGAAATATAAACTTTTTGTAGCCTTAGACCGTTTTTAGAGATAAAAACTTGTAAAAAATTTGATTTTTGTTTGATTTTTGATCAAAAATGTATGAAAAATGGCCAAAAAAAGTAAAAAAATTTCGGCCTTTCAACATTCGTACTTATGAAATTCGGCGTTATGAAACTCGGCATTATGAAAATAGCTCCCAAAAAAGACCCCCGTCCAATGTCCGATTTTGACGATTTCGGTATCTATCGAAAGCTCTCGACAAGCCGAGCAGATATCTTCTCTCCGATTTTTCAAATTCTCGAATTTTTATACCAGTTACTAACATTTTTGCAAAATTGGCTGAATTTTCGAGGCTTTTCCCATGAAATGTTTTTAACAAAAACCCCATTCTCCAAGTTTTTGCATTTTCCTGTCAGCTCACGGTCGGCTTTTTGAAAGGCATTTGAGAAAACACAGCTTGGACGAAAATGAAGCAGATTGAATTGAGTTTTTACACAAAATTGCCTAAATTACGCCCAAAAACGATGAAAATCGGGTGAAAAATTCGGGGATTGCATAAGGTTTTTCCGGTCTCCGCAAAGGGTCTCTGCCAGCCTGCCCACCCCCAAAAACACTGACAACACGGTGATGAACATGCAAAGGACAATAGAAAACAAGGCAGAAGCATTCCCATTCCAGCATTAGTCGATGAGGCAACACAGCAGAGATCATTAGAGAAAAGGGGGGAGGGGGAGGGGAGGGGTCGAACCTGCGAACGAGACGATGATGGAGTGGAAGAGGATGGGCAGATGATGAAGCCGATGAAGCCTCTTCTCCACGACGAACAAGAAGAAGCCATTCCGGTTCGGAGGATGTCCGTTTGAATGGAGGACGAGAGGGAGGAGGATGAGGAGCATGAGATAGAATGGAGAATGAGGAGGGAGAAGAGGGGCCAGCCTCGGCTATTGGAGACAATTCATCGAAAGAAGTGAAAGAGGGACGGGGCAGGAGAGAGAGATGATCGGGAGGGAAATGGAGAGGTGAAGGAGAGAGGGGAGCAGCAGGAGGGAGCAGAGAAAGAGAGGGAAGAGGGGCGGCAGCTGTAGAATCACGAAGGGATGACGCCGAGCCGGATGAGAAGATTCTGGAGCAGACGGTATTTTGAGAGGAGAGAGAGAGAGTGGGAGAGACAGAGAGGGGAGAGAGAGAGAGAGAGAGAGAGAGAGAGAGAGCGAGAGAGAGAGCGGGAGAGAGACAGAAATATAAAAAAAAACATTCCCCAACCAGCGGAAGGAGTATTGCCACGGAATACCCCTTTTTTTCTTCCATTTTCCACCATTCCCAAGCCGGGCTTCACCGGTTCTTTTGCATTATCGGGGGGGGGGGTACGAATTTTTTCCTGTAATCCAAAAATTCCTAGCAAGGTCAAAAAATTGCAAAAAAAATTGTGAATCTCGAAAAATTGATATTTCAGTATTTTTCACAAAAATTTGTAAAATTTTTAGATTTAGGAAGCGTAAAAACAGCATCTTACCCTATTTTTACATTATAATATCCGTGAAAAACCTAACCCCCCCCGATAATGCAAAAGAACCACCGCCAGGGGCCAAATTTGCGTACATTTCGAGGGTCATGAAACGGAACCCGGAAAATTCCGCGACGATACTCCCAACTGACGATCGCCCGATTCCCCCCGGTTCGAAAAGTGCGCATGCGAAAAACGACATCGAGAAATCGGGATGGGGCTTGAATTGGAGGGAAGGAGGAAAAAAAGAAAGAAAAACGGCAGAAAAGACGATACCGACTGCTGTGACGACTGCTGCTACGGTAGTACGTGCTCAGCTCTTCTTCGCTCTCCTCCTTCAGAATCGAACACGGACGGCGGGTCGCCTGAAAGGGGGAAAATTGGTTAGTAGGGCGACAAAACGTCAAAAAATGACGCGGCAGTCCGTGAAAAATGCGCAAAAACGAACCCTCCACGAGTTGCTCCTGCTGCGACATCGTTGGGCGGTGGTGGCCGATTGTTGGGGCAACACTCCCGTACGAGCATCAGCGCTGAAAACAAAAATTGTGAATTCATTAAATTATTCTTTTTATGGTTTTTTATTGATAGAATGCTATAAAAAGTCTTTTTAATGTCGAAATTTGAATTTTTTTTAACCTTTTCTGCTCGAAAATTCGAATTTGAATGGGAAACCGGTGTAAAATCCGATAAAAATGGCCTATATTGCGCCATTGCACCAAATTTCGTAATTATCGCATCCGTTTACATTGCGTTTTTACTGAAAAGCATGTCCTTTTTGCGTGGAAAATGTCCAAAATCGCGTGGGAAATTCGGAAAGCGGAAAGCACCTTTCGCACTTTTATCATTTTTCCTGTCCTTTCCAGGTGAATTTCGGCCGTTTTTCAGGGTAAAATTGATGGAAAGTCCCGATTTAAATGAAATTTACGTAAACCCAAAACATTTGGCCCCAGTGTTCGATTTTGGTGGGAGAGGTGGGAGACTTTGGCCGATAGTTTGTGACGAGTAGGCGGCGGATCAGGTTTTGAGCCACGCCGTTTGCAGTGTCTGACTCTTCGGCGCCAGATGATACCCATAAAAACCGGGTAGAACCTTGTTAGACACCCTCCAAGTCTCAATTTATGAAAATCTTCACAAAAAAGCGGTTTTACGGATGTATTTTTCCGGTTCAGGCTCAGATCAGGTTTTAAGCTACACCATTCGATTCGGGTGCTGATTCCGGTTCGATTGATGTCCATGACAGCCACTCATAACTTTGCTAGGCAACCCCGGAAGCGGTTTTTCAGTCGTGGGATAGGTGCCTCTGTTTGGACAGGTAAAAAAGAGCGCCTGTTTTTCTTTTACGTTAAAAATGTCGACGTCGAAATCGATCAAAATCCCAGTGAAATCTAAATCCTAATTTGGCTGTAAAGATTTCTGTCTGATGGATTAGGGGAGCAACAAGGGGGAAAACGCAACCTCTCAATGATGTCCTCTTCGGGCAACGAGTTTTCCCTGTTCTCCTCGGTGAGGGCTTTCGCCTTTTCGAAGCGACAGGCGGCGAGTACACGTTCGGCCAGTAGATAGTAGGTGGCTGACATGTAGTTGTAGTCGTCATTCTCCAGCGCGCTGCAACAAAAATATTGTTGTATTTTTTGAGGTTTTCTAAAAAATTTAGAGGCAAATTTCAGTATAAACTAAAATAGGAATTAAAAATATTAAAATAAGTATAGTAAAATGTTAAAATAGAAACATAAATTAAAATCGGCCGGCAGGCAGAAATATAATTAAAATAGAAAAATGGATGTTTTCCGAATCCTCGAAGAAAAAAAAACTAAGTTTTCTTCAGCCAGGGGACCGATTTTTTGTAGTTTGAAGTTTTCCGCGCAAAAAAGGCTAAAAACCACAAAAATAGCAATTTAGCGATCCTGGGCGGATAAAAAATGCATTAAAAAGGTAGGTAGATCCTCTAAAATCGTGGAAAGCCGAAATTACAACTTCTCCAGCGAGTAACCCGTCAAAAATTAAAAATCGAAATTTTCAGGCATTTCCCCCGAGAAAATCTATACAAAATCAGCTTTTCCAGGCGGAAGACGGGTTTTTAAACGTCATTCAGTGGCCAATTCGATAGAACCAAAAATTCTCGCCAATCTACAGCCTCCAGAAGCCCAAGAAAAGCGTCTAAAACCCGCCATTTAGCGAAATACCGAATCCTAAATGCGTTTTTGAGGCTAGCGGAACGTCCGGAATTTCTGGCTGCTTCCAATAGGCTACAGATAACATCCCAGAACCCAGGGAAACCCCTCCAGAAAAGAGACAGGCACTCACTTGAGAATCGAATCGGCCGACCCGATATGGCCCTGGACCATCTGATCGATGATCGTTTGATGTGCTTCTTCTGGCAGATGGTGACGCTCGATCAGTGGAATCGCCTGCAAATAGCCCAATTGATTTAATCCTGTTTTTTATTATATAAAACCGATTTTTATACGCAGAATAAGCCATTTTTCAAGCCACACAAATATTCGCACTTTTCGAGTGAACTCCGAATTCTCCGGAGAGCAAATTCTGAAGAAAAGAAAAATGGCGCTCACCTCAGCGTGGCCACGATCGCCCTGTTGCACCCATGGATTGGAGGAGATCTCGGGCAGAGAGGCACGCTTCTTCCCCTCTCGGACCAACATCCGGGCGATCAGGCTGAAAATCAGCAGTTCAATTCAAATTGAACCCGAAACAAGCGATTTTTGTGCTAGAATACGCTTAGAAAACGTGCTGGCGACGCCCAGAAAAAAAAGATAAAAACCACAAAAACCCTCAAAAGTAGCGCCAAAGGTCCCCAAAAGTCTGCAGAACTGCTGAGGAAGCTTTCAGAGTGTCAGGAAAATGCCACTAACGCTAAAGACCATTTTAAAAACTGGAAGGCTAAGCAAATAAAATCAAAATACGCATTTTCTATGGTTTTATCTCCCCGAGACTTTCTGAACGAGCAAAACCACAAAAATGCGTAACAGAGCGTCGAAACCCGGAAAAACCACCAAGAATGACGTGGAAATTTCAAGCCTTTACGAGCATTAGTCGGCTTTTTCGAACGCTTGCACGGTAAAAGGTAGAAATCAGGTTCCAACGAGGCCGCGAAGGAGCGAAAACCACCAAAACTCGCAAACAAATAACCTAAAAAAGCTCGGGAACAGCTTTAGCAGTTGTACGAGTATTAGAAAGGCTTTTTTGAAAGCTGGTAACCATAAAAAAAAGGTAGAAATGGCCTTTTAGAGAAGCTGAGATAGCAAAGAACCCGTAAAAATAACTTCAATGACGCGAAAAGGCCCCAGAAATCGTCTAGTAACTTTTATAGTTTTCAGGAGGAACGATGATAAGAAAGATATCATTATAAAGGCATTATAAGGCTGTTAGAACTTGGAGTAGATATGAAGATACACTTCGACAATAACTTCAAGACGCGAAGGCCCCAGAAATCGTCTAGTAACTTTTATAGTTTTCAGGAGGCTCAACGCGTAGCAGAAAGGCTTTTTCACAATCTTGAAACCGAAAATGCGCGTTGAAGACGAAAAGCGCTCGTAAAAAATGAAGTTCAAACACCCGAAAAATGTCGTCGTAACTTGTTGGCGAGAATGGTGGCGGCTGCACTAGCATTATAAAGGCTTGTTTAGAAGCTTGGAAGTAAAGCTATAAGAAAAACGATGAACACACTTTCGACAAGCCGGCGACAGCGTGTCGGGCAGTGTGAATCGACAATCCAAGATGCGGGTGAGCGTCTCCGAGTCGTTCGTCTCTTGAAACGGCAATCGACCCACCACCAGCATGTACAGGATAACGCCCAGCGACCACACATCTAAACGGAAACGCCCGTGAAGGAAAGAGGGGGGCAGAGAACTGACCGACAGCCGGCGCATCGTAGGCATCACCGAGGAGAATCTCTGGCGCTGAATAGGCGAGACTGCCACATGACGTCTTCAATTGGGTGCCCGGCTCGTAGTTGTTCGAGAAGCCGAAATCTGTCAGCTTCACCATGCCCAATTGCTCGAAGAACACCACGTTTTCCGGCTGAAAAATGGACAATACGCGAATATTATGGCTAATTGGAGCTTGTGCATTATCAGGGGGGATAAAAGACCAACACCAGAACTCAAGGTTTTTTAGTTAGATAAAACCTATAAACGAAAAACCACAGAAACGACCGTTTTCGACGAAATTCAAATTTTGAACCCTTCTCAACGTTTTTACATTAAATTCTAGTGGGAAAACTATTAGGTTCTTTGGCATTATCGGGGGAGGTCTAGAGAGGCCTAGAAAATTAAAAGAAAGTTAATAAACTTTGTGATAAACTAAAACTCTATTTCAAACAGAAAAGCTATCCAAAATTCTCAAAAAAAATCGAAATTTCTGGCAAAAAACAGCCATTTGTGGTCGAAAATCGTCTTTTTTTGTATGATTTCATAAAAATTTGTACGGCTTTCACTTTTAGGAATAGTGAAAACGTTTTAGAGCCTCCCCCCGATAATGCGAAAGATCCAATCATGGGCATTGCAGCAGAGATCCTTGAGGAATAGCCTCAATTCCTGTTCACCTTGAGATCTCGATGTACGACGTGCAATTTGTGGCAGTAGCTGATGGCTTTGATAATTTGGCTGAAGTATTGTTGGGCGAGTGGCTCGGGGCATCCCTAAAATATTCGCCCAATTATTTTAACCGAAAACACGCATTTTCAGGGGTTTTCACCCGTTTTTTTTGGAGCACAAAATCCCGCACCTTTTCCTCGTACTTCAAGATGAAATCGTGCATATCGTAGTCGCCGAGCTCGAGGATGAGAAAGAGCTTTGTCTGCGTGTCAATCACCTCGTAGAGACGGACAATGTTCGGATGTTGCACCAGTTTCATACAGCGAACCTGAAAACGGCAAAGAATATTCATTTTTAAGGGTGAGCACGACCTCTTGCATCATGTGCTCGCGCGATTCAATGTCCAGATTGTCCTTGTCGATGATTTTCACCGCCACCTGAAAGGAATCGATCAAATTTTGGCGGTTTCTAGGTGGAGAACCGTGGGGAGAAGCAAGAAAACTTTTTTTCGAGTTTTTCCAGCGCGGTAAAACACAGAAAAGGTTATTTTAGCGTTTTTTCGGCGCAGGAAAAGCCAAAAAAGTTACTTTTCGTGTTTTTTTAGCATCGGAAAAGCCAAAGCTTTGAGTTTTTCCAGAGTTAGTAAAGCCAAAAACTCTTATTTTCGCGCCTCTACAGCCTAGATCAGTGAGAAAAACCCAATTTTATAGTTTTGCAATAGAGACGGCTTTTCGACGCCCTCATTTCAATCGAAAAACCTCGGAAAAGGTATTTTTCCCGCCGTGAAAAAGGGTTTTTAGAACGCCCCGTAGATCTCGCTTTTTCGCAGGTTTCCTATGGAAAAAGGGCGGACCTGCTCCTGTGTGAAGACATGCTTGGCCCGTTTGACGATGGCAAAATGTCCCTGGCCAATCGTCTGCTCCAAATCGTAGAGCCCGGCGATACGTGCATCTAAATGAGCATCATAATTCTGAGAATTGCTGGGTAACCGTGTTCATCGTCTCGATCCCGAACAAACTGACCCTTGATGTTCAGCGATTTCTTTCGCTTTGGCACACCGTCCGTCGTCGCGGCCATTCCACCTCGCGCATATACCGGGGGTGCGCGCTGCAAAAAAATGCCGGATTAAAAACGTCGAAAAATATCACACAAAAAAAATGGAAAATTGAGAAGGGGATTGACCAAAAAAGCAAAAAATGAAATGGGGATTCTATAAAACGTGGATTTTTCTGGATCTAAGCGAGAAAAGAATTTCCTAAACGCCAGGAAGAAATAAAATCAAAGAATTTCATCGTAAACTCGCCAAACAATCAGGGAATCAACCTTCTAAAAAACTTTCAACGGTAAGGATGAATTATAGACCAAGGAAACGATCTACAGGGTGTCCCATAAAAAGTCCTGATCATCCATCACTAAAATTTGCAAGGGTGGGAAGGGAATTAAAATTAGCAGCCGGATCGGAAAGTAGTTTCGAGTTAAGAAAAATAAATTTATTTTAGTTTTACCTGGATTCGTGGATTGGCCTTGAATGATGGCAAATGGCGGACTTTTACCCCAGGAAATTTTGTAATTGTTTGGAAATTGGTTGTTTATATTTTAACAGGTGTTATCCCCGATGTTGAGAAGAGGGTGGGCGAAATTGTTAATGTGGTGTGGTGAGAGTGTTGAAAAGTATTTGGTTTAAGATACGTACGATCCGGCTGGCTTGCATTAATTCCCTTCGGCTCTGTTCTTTCAGATCGAAAGATTGTGGGTCCAGCGTGACCTTTTTTGGGATTATAGACGAAAAAAGCAGGTACCCTTTCAAAAGAGCGGCCACACAAGAAACTAGTTACCATTTTCAACCCAAAACCTGCAAAAAACCCGCTGAAAATGGAGAGTTTGCGGAGAAACGGCGCTCCACGCGCATGATAACATAAATTAAATTGAATTAGAAGCGCCTAAACGAGACCAAAATCTTTGCAAAAATACATTGAAGCCTGGCTTAGCGCACGGAGCGCCTAAAATCAAGCCGTACGCTAGCCCTACCACTGGCTCGACCAAACAATAAAAATATTTAAAAAAAGAAGATCGAGCTTGGCCAGGGGGGCTTCGTCCTAGTTCTGGCGCGGATAAATTGAATCCTAGACGGCGTTTTTCGTGGCGACGATTTTCTAAACATTCTAAAAATTGAGATATTCGGCGCCAGCGAGCAGACTCGATAATTTACGGTAAAAAGGCTAAAAAATGCCCAAAAAAATAGCCAAAATCCCTCCCGGAACACCAGGCTGTTAGCAAAATTCTCAAAAGAACGCCGTTTTTTGAAGAACAAAATAGTTTTTTGAAGGACGTCGGCAGCTTTTCTAAACTTTCTAAAATCAAAGATTCGGCGCAAGCAATTAGACTCGAGAATTTAGGGACGAAAACGCCAGAAAAGAGCCAAAATCACACCCTGAGACAAACGCCCCGTTGCGATGTTATCAAAATTCGCAAAAAAAACACCACTCGGGGCGATGTAAGAAACGCCGTGATTTGACGACTAGACCCAGTGCTTTTTGCAGGACGGCGACAGTTTTTCAAACGTTTTGAAAACAAACAAAAAAACCCTTGTGATCAGACGCGGGCGAAAAACGCTAAAAAATATACTGAAAAACAGCCAAAAGCAAATCCCGAAAGGCCGTTACAAAAATTAAGAAAAGCCTCGGGGCACCGAGCGAAAAAAAAGATTCTAAAATTAGCGATTCATCACTAGCGAACAATTTAAAGGTCAAAAACGCTAAAGAATGCCTTAAAAAGCCAAAATCACATCACACCCCGAAACGCCCAACATTAGGCCCTTATCAAAATTCACAAAAAAAAACGTGAGAATCACGGGAGATTGGCCGGTGTCCGTCTGTCTCTCTGTCTGTCTTTCTGTCTCTATCTGTCTGTCCGTTTTGCGGGTGGGAGATAAGCCGATGTATGTGTGTCTGAAACGAGAGAAAGAGAGAAAAAGAGAGGGCGAGAGGGATGGGGGGGGGACGATCGATATACGGGGGCACGATGGAGGGGAAGAAAAGAGAAAGAGGACGGGCTCCAGCTGGCTGCCAGGGCCACCTTTCGTCTGTTGCTATCTCTCGCTGTCTCTCTGTCTCTCACCCAGAGGGCCCTCTCAAAAAAGGGAGAAGATGGCAGGGTTGGCCCCCCGACGGATCCCAACGGCCCTCCCTATCCAACGATAGAAGAGAAGCATTCGGGGGCTGTAAACAGAAAAAGAACATGCCCATCTAAAAATAGCAACATTTCTAGGAGGGGGGACGGCGACAAACGGGGACCGGTCTTTATAGTTATTACCGTCAAAAATATCGGTTTCGAGCAAAATTGGCCGATTTCTGGACGAATTTCGACTTTCCATATGTTTTTAAAGTTTTTTGGATATTTTTTCTGGTTTAAAATAGTTTTATTGTCTAACGAATCTATTAAAACACTGTCTAATCAGTTCTATTTCTAGACATTTCTAGACGTTCTATAAAACTAAAAATCAAAAAGTTCTATAAAACATTTCAAGACGTACAAAAAACGTCCCCCCCCCGATAATGCGCAAGAACCCGCGTCGCTTCATGGCTTCTGGATCCTGAAAGTCTGATGAATGCTGTCAGAATTGTTGGATGGTACGTGTGTGCCAATCGAAGAGAGGTATTTCTTGCGAATCCGGGTTTTTGAATCGTTTATCGCCCGATGTCCCCATAATTCACACGAAATGACAAAAAAATCACGATCGACAAGCATGGAATAAATTAAATTAAAAATGAAGATTAACGTAAATCAAAATTAATTAAATTAAGCCAAAAATGAAGACAGAATCGACAAATGAAAGCATCAATTGTTGGCTAGAAAAAGGGCGCTTGTGGTGTCATCGTCGGCACAATCCTGCGGTATCTCCCCATCCACATTCATCGACGCCCGATCGGCGCCCCGTCCAAGGAGTTCGGCGAGCAGCGTGTGATGCCCGTTCGTCGCCGCTGCAAATAGGTAAGTAATTTTTTGTACTTATGCGTTTCCGGGGGGGTTAATGCAAAAAATGAAGTGTTTCTAGACTGTTTTTCCATGCCTACACCCGAAATCTTTACAGATTTTCATTAAAAATACGAAAACAATCGATTTTTCGACCAAAAATCGCCGATTTCCGCCCGAAATTTCATCCAAAAAGTTTCAAAAGCCTTTCAAAAACATTTTTTTCGAGATCGTTTTTCCTTGAAAACAAGTTAAATTTTGCTAAAACTCTAATAAACACTCGGAATTTCTGTACTTACAAGGAAAATTTCACCCCCGATAATGCCGAAGTACCGAATGGTTTATTATAATTGGTAAGAGAAGTAAAATGAACAGGAAAAATATTAAAAAACGTTTTCCCTAGAAATATAATTAAATAAAGAATGGTAATGGTGATAATTTCTATTGCAAAAAATGGCTGTACCATAATGAAGGGGCGAATTGCCGTCGTCGTCTTGTGCATTCATATTTGCCCCGTTGTCGAGCAGCCATATTGCCGTCTTCTTCGAGTTCGAATCCACCGCCCAGTGGAGGGCTGTCAACTGAAAATTTCCATTATACAGGGGGTCTCTCAAAAAAGACCCCCGGAGGGAGTGTCCGATTTTAACAATTCCGGTATCTATCGAAAGCTCTCGACGAACTGAGCAGATATCTACTCTCCGATTTAGGAAATTCCCGAATTTTTGTTCGATTTACTGGGATATTTTGAGAAACAGACCGGATTTTGGATGGCTTTTCCGTAAAAGCGTGCTTTAAAAAGCCAAATTTCGGTATTTTTCTTTTCATTTTCATTTCACATTTTTATTTTTTCTTTGCCGGAAATCCGAAGACCCCTTTTTTTTCTTTAAAAAAACCAATAGATCGTCGCAGTTTGGATGGCGTCCAGGGACGTAGCGTAAGGTGGGCCCCCTGGGCCCGGCCCCCCGAAATCGGCCGGGGCCCGAAAATTTCATAAGGGGGGACCCTTATGATTTTTATTTTCTCAAAAATTTTGCTGCCTGGGACGCTATTTTTGCACGTTTTTACGGCTAATTGTAGAGCTATATAACCTTTTTTTCAAAAATTTTTGCCTGCGGCGCTGTTTTTTCGCCAATGTTTTGAGTTTTTTGGAAAAATTTTTTGGGCCCCCCGAAATTTTTTCTGGCTACGCCCCTGATGGCGTCTAAGCCGATTAAAGCCGAGTTTTTGGGGGAAAACTTACAACCTTTGCCTGACAAAAAGTCGAAAATGTAGCAAAAAATATCGGGAAATTCCAAAATCGATAGATACCTAAATCTAAATCTAAATCTATCTTTCGATAGATACCTAAATCACCAAAATCGGACATTGCTACGCAGCGATGGAGGAGGGCCTTTTTTGGAACACGCTCCAGCAATCCCCCCCTGCAAAGATTTCCCCAATATTTTTACAAAATAAAATGGTTCTGGACTGTTAGCGGGGGAGGGATATTTATGATGTTGTTAGGAGTTTTTGATTGCCAGGACGTTAAAAATATTTTTCAACATTTTGAAATTCGAAAATTTTTGTATTTTTTGGTCATTTTTCACGATCTTTGACAAAAAATTTTTTGTCTTTGTTGTATTGTTTTTATATCTAAAAAGCATGTAAAATGCTATAAAAAAATGGTTTATTTTTAGTTATAGGGCCGTAGAGGCCCACAGGGGAAAATTTGGTTTCCTTCCCCCGCTAACAGCCCAGAACCATAATAGTGCGATACCCCATTGCCACTTCCGGGTGCCGCCTCGTTCAATAGTGCGGGATTGTTGTGGAAAAGCCGTTGTGCCGTCTCGAGATCGTCGTGTTTACAAGCCAGAAACCACAGCGCTTCATCACTTTCGATCGAGTCCACCTGAGAAAAGAGAGATTTTTGACAACTCAGGTCCTCGGGTCCACCCAAAATCCGGTTGTATTCCACCTGGATTTGAGGTGGAACGCATGGAAATCGGGTGGAAATCGGGTGGACGCACAGGAAATCGAGTCGAAACACGACGCAACGCGTGCCGCACGCGACGCGGCAAGTGGAAATCGAGTGGAAACCGGGCGGATCCGGTCGATTTCCAACTGATTTACCGTGCATCCACCCGCAATCCGGTCGATTTCCACGTGGAATCCGGTCGCGTCCGCTATCGTCCGCTTCCGATCGATTTCGCGAGCAGATGCCGACCGGATTTCGGCTGAACCCGAGGACCTGAGAACAAGAGAAGGAAAATCTACCGTATCGGGTTGTCCCTCGATGGCCATTCGACTCGGCACTTTGCCAAATGTCTGCTTGACCACCTTCTCCCGTGGATCCCATCCAATTTCCAGCCCGTCCAGCTAAACAATTAATTATATACAAAAATAATTGTTAAAATTTTCAAATTTTGACAAATTTGGCGAGTAGAAAGTTATCAAAAATGTTTTTCAAAGTTTCAAAATGCGATAATTTTGAATTTGAATTGATTTTTTGAACTAAAACTATGCAAAATCCCCATAAAAATGGTTTCTTTTTGATATAGGGCCGTAGAGAATCACCGGGAAAAATCCCCCCCCCCCGCTAATAGTCCAGGACCTAAAAAAATTGAATTGCTAAAATTTATAAATTTTGTCAAATTTGCCGAGTATTCATAAATTTAATTTTCAAATTGTTGCCCAAAAATCGCCAAAATTTGTACACTTTCTCAGCTTGTTCCGGTTCTTTCGCATTATCGGGGGTTTAATATAAATAGAGGAAGTCTTTCCAAACTGTTATTTACTATTCCTAAACGTAGAAACTTTACAAATTTTGATGGAAAATACTGATTTTTCGAACAAAAATGGTTTTGTTTTTTTTATATTTTTATTTTACAATTACGATTAGTTAAAATTCACGAAAAACGCTTCTTTCAGTTACGTTACTATTTACGTTAGTTACGTTAAGTTCAAAGAGTTTTAGAAAAAGTCGGTACACACGCCCGAGAATGCTAAAGAGCCAAAAAAGACCAGAAAATGTAAAATTTTTGGCGTCTAATTTATTTATGGAATTTTAAAACGGCTTTCAATATTTCTAAACGTAAAAACTTTACAAATCATGATTAAAAAACAAAGAAAAAGCGATTTTCTCTCCAAACATCAAATTCCATGAATATTTCCACGTTTTTTTGATAGTTTTTCCACCATAAACGTCCTCGAAATACTGCAATATTACGTGCCCTGATGACGCAAGAAGCTTTCCGCGAATGAAATCAATACCTTTAGTACGTATTGTTTCATGGCTTGCTCTCTTTCGAGCCCTTCCATCTCTCGCCACGCGTCGAATTTGCGACGACTCCGCAGATCGTAGAATGCCGGCTGGTCTTCCGCTCCTAAAATTCAAATTTCTCCTGCAAAAAAAAGAGAGAATAAACCTGGGGCTCCGCACGTGGCCATTTTGTACAATCCGTAGAGGTGCAGCAGCGATTTTTCGTCAATCTCCGGGGTTTTACTCTAAAAATAACGTTCTTCAAAAGTAGGTACTTTTGTATTATCGGGGGGGAATTGTTTCTAACTAGGGAATTGTTTATAAACTGTTTTTTACCATTCCTAAAGGCAAAACTTGACAAATATTTGTAAAAAAATACAAAAGCTATTTTTCGATCAAAAATGGCCGTTTTTGAGCAAAATGTCGACTTTTTTTAAAAATTGCAGCGTTTTTAGACAGTTTTTCAAGCTAAAGTAGATTTTTTAAAGAAACAAATTGTGAAAATGCTTCCTAATAGGCTACTAGGCATCTACAGGTTAATAAAAAATTGTTCCCCCCCCCCCGATAATGCGAAAGAACCGAAAAGTAACTGGTAAATTCGTACGGGCAGAAAGGCGGCGGCCGAGTCGAAATAGAGCTGCAGGGTGGCCGGATCTTCCATCGCCTCCAATAGAGCTTCATTTCTAAAAAAAAAACGAAAATCTTCGAGGTTTTTGGGAGAGGTTACACGAGAGAATGGCTGGTGGTTGGTTGGATGGCGAGGGCCCTGCTGTGCCACCATTTGCAGAATTGCACGGCAAACATTCGCTGAAAAGTATCGTGTTCTTTTAATTCGTTTTCGGGCAAAATTTTGCGGTGCTTTTCCATTATCGGGGCCCGAAAGCGATGTCACTAAAAACGTCACCTTTTTAGGAACAAATTTTTCAAATACAAGATGGAAAATGTTTCTAACTCGCTTTTTATTACCCCTAGCGTGAAAAAATTCTTGAAAAATACAAAAATATCGACTTTTCGACGAAAAACGGCCGGTTTTGTTGCCAATTTTTGATCTTTACAAATTTTCCGATAGTTATCTAGTTGAATCAGACGTAAATTTTACTGAAAAAAACTATTAAAAGACTTATAATACGTCACTAAGCAATTATAGGTTTGAAGGACCCCCCGATAATGGAAAAGAACCAGTAAAAAGAAAACGAACAAACGGCGTGTCGCTACCAAAATCCGAAGACAAACTTCTGCGTGTGATCCGTTTTTCCAGAAATGAATGGCCAAAAACCAGTAGCCAAAAAGCACGACGCCCAAATAGATGAAATCAATTTATCAGACCGCAAAATCACAACATAACCCGTGAAAACAGCAAAAAAAGGTGATGCTCATTGTTGCTGCTCGGCGGCCCACTTCTGGCGGGTGTACGTCTTGATCGTGACGGCGTGGATGGAGGGCATCTCTTCTTTGATCGCGTCTTGTACCAGCCTAAAAAAACCGATGTATTTTTATAGTGTTTTTAGTAGTTTTTGACTGCGAAAAGGTTATAAATTCCATTTAAATTTAAAACTGTAAAAATGTACAATTTAAAAATTCGAACTTTTTAACTTTTTTTGGGTTTTTTGGCAAACAATCCAGAACCAAAATGAATATAAAAAAGAAATAAAAAGAACCTGTGCGAGGCGAGTGTCGTCTTGCCGATGAACTTGTCCGAGACGACGACCATCCGAAATTTGGCGCCGCACCCATCCGACTCGTCTTCGACCTCCTGCAATCGAGAGGTGTAAAAAATGTCGGTATTTGACTGTTAGCGGGGGGGGACTACCTTCAGGGGATTTTTATAGCATTTTGCGCCTTTTTTTAAACCACCAGACAAAATTATAAAATTTTCACAAAATTTAGACCATTTGGTACGAGAAATAACCACATTTTCTAAATCTTAAAATTAAAAAACTATTTTTAGAATTTTCTCACAATCAAAAGCTACAAAAACCATAGAAATACATGACATAATCTCAAAAGGTTTTCTTGGTTTTTTAACAAAAGGTTCAGGCACAGAAATTAATTTTTCCACGCTGTTAAGCCCCCCCCCCCCGTTAACAGCCCAGTACCAAAAGATGAAAAAAACATCGAAACAAAAATAAATGCCTACCAAATGGTCGGGTTCGAGGGCTTGCAATCGTGTCCGCAGCTGTTCCTCCGTGATTGGCATCTGAAAACGACGAATAATCCTATCCTGTAAGCCAGAAAAGCATGTCCGTTTTTGTACAGCCGATTTCTCGGCCGTCAGGCCGAATTTCGGGCTGATTTTTGGCATGAATGTGGAGAAACACATCTTCTTTATTAGCATTTTTTTGGAAATTCCGTTATTTAAGGGTCTTACAAGCAAAAAAGTAAAAAATCATTAAAAAATAGGGCCAGGGGCGTGGCGTCCGGGCCATAACTCGATGCCCAGATGGAATTTCGGGCTGGAATTTGGATAACTTGTGTTTTCGATGGTGGGGATCACGCGCATCTTATTATCTTTGCAAATTTGAGCGGATTCCGACTCGAAAATGGAAGAAGTTTGGGAGCTAGTTAAGTTTGATGGTCCCAAGGGCGTCTAAAAAAAATTTGCCGATCGGGCACCCCCGATCGGCGTAAAAACGAGTATTCCGGGGTAGTTTGATGCGCTGAGTTCTAATTTGACACTCTTAGGCTCCAAATATCTGATTTTAGACTACAAACTGCACAAACACAAAAACAACAAGCCAGTCATAGAATTAGTCAACGGGTAACGCCTAGCAAGGTCCAATAGAGTGAAGCTGGTCCAAACTAGCATTCATGCTTGAGCATAAAGGTGACATTCATGGCAGAAATCGGCTTTTATAGCGAGCTGCAATAACATTACACCCGCGGGACCCGATGGTATAAAGGCGTTAATCGTGATAGGCTTGCGCAATTAAGGCATCTGCATTTATTGTTGTAAATTGTCAGATTTTCTGAAGTATGTGGTATATTGTTAGGAGTTTGCGCCTTGCGGAATTGCTATATTCGGATTGAGCGCGAAAAACTACATCGGAAAAGGTGTTTCTAGCGTGACTAGGTGATTTTCGACTTTTTGTAGTTTGTAGTCTCAGATCAAATATTTGTAGTCTAAGAGTGTCAAATTAGAACTCAGCGCATCAAACTACCCCAGAATACTCGTTTTTACGCCGATCGGGGGTGCCCGATCGGAAAATTTTTTTTGACGCCCTTGGGGCCATCAAACTTAACTAGCTCCGAAGTTTGTGCTTGGTCAACCACGCGAATGGTCGAGGGTTCGGATCCTGGGCGAATTTAACTTTTGCTTTTTGGTAGTTCAGCAGCAAAACATATTTCTAGGCCGTAGGTGTGCGAGGTTTAGGACTGGCCGTCGCTCTAGCGCCGCAGGCCCAGGTTTTCGCGCCGCAGGCCAAGGAGGGGTCCAGGCGGAATATGTCAGTGTCGAAAATCAGAATCTCGAATTTTTAGAATTTCGAATTTTCAGAATCTCGCAATTTCCAAGGTTTAAAGCAGCATAAAGGCTCGGGAAATTTCACGCCAACGCCCTGAATCCAGCATAGACAGATTTCGAGATTATGAAAATTCGAGATCCTGAAAATTCAATATTTTGAAGATTCGAGCTTCTGAAAAAGCGCCGCAGGCTAAAAAAAAGACGCTCAATTCATGGTTCCTGGATGGGGTCCAGTGGAAAAGGGCCGCGAAGCGGTCTTTTTCCACTGGTTTGCAAATACAAGACGGAGAAGCAAGAGCAGGATTTTTGAACGAACAAACGAACATTCGACTCTTTCCCAGACTTTTAGTGATAAGAATTTATTCGGCAGATTTTCATCGAATCCGGCCAAACTATGGCACAACACCCGTGCGAGAAAATTGTGAGCAAAAGCAACAGCAAACAGGATAGAACTAGGGACTACATTCCAGAAAAAACTAACAAAAAAGCCGCGAAACAATAGAAATAGCATACAAAACGCTATAAAATGACGTACGGGAAGAGGAGGAGAAATTCGGGTTCTTTGGCATTAGCGGGGGGTTGTAATTTCTTAAACAAATCCAAATACGCCCAGTAATTTCATAAAAAAGTGCTTTAAAATTATTTTTAGTAAAATTTAGGCATATTAAAGCGAGCAATCTATTTAGAGAGTCGGAAAATCATTCAAAAATTTTACATTTTATCCAAAATCATCATTTTTGATCGAAAATCTATATTTCTTTTTAGGTTTAGGGAAAACGGTCAAAACCACAATAGCGTTACGTATTTAAGACCCCCCCCCCCCCGATAATGCAAAAGAACCGAAATACGAGCAGCGAATCGCCTCAAAAATCGATGCGCCATGACATTGCGTATTTGGCCGTCTCGTAGGCGCCGAAGAACACGAAGCCGCCCAACGAGATCCAGAAGGTACGCGGGACGACACCAGCGAACAGTCCCGCCACGCCACGTGCCGCGTAGATCTGCAAAAATCGGGGGCTAGAAATGTGGTATTCAACGGTTTACCGTAGTTCGGAAAGCCTAGAATTTGGCAAAATTATAATACGTTCCGTAACTATTTTTTAAAATAAAGCTAAAATACGGCACCACACAAAAAGAAAAAATTACGCGGAATACTGTGGTCCTGAAACTATAGGCTTTAGCCAAATTATGTGGCTTCAAATGAAAATACGCCCAGTACGGCACTTTACAAATCACGAAATTTGCCGACTGCCGGTACTTTGATAAATATGCAGAATTTAGCGAAATTACGTGAATTTAAAAATGACAAAATACCCCCGGCGAACAGTGCACCTCAAACTAGAGAATTCAACGAAATTCCGGTCCTTTGCAAATGACGGCAGACGTTGCCGGATTTTTACGATTTAGGTATCTATCGAAAGCTCTCAAAAAGGCGAGCCCAGCACGTCTCACCGATTCTCAAAATTGCGAAATTTTTGCTTGATTTTCGGCGATTTTGATGCAAAAAGGGCCCGCTATTTGTCCAAGAAGCGATTTAACCGGTTTAAGCGCTATCCAAGCTGTGTTTTCGCAAAAGGCTTTCAAAAAGCTGTCAGGAAAGGCGCAAAAATTCTTAAATTGCGATTTTTGTAAAAAAAACCTTGGTCAGAAAAAACATCAGAAAATCCGCCCGTTTTGCAAAAATATTAGCAAAATTATAGAAAAATTTCAAAATCTTGGGAATCGAAGCAACGTACTAGACTGGCCTTTTCGAGAGCTTTCGCTAGATACCTAAATCGTACAAATCGGACACGTCTGCGGCCGGCTAGGGGGGGTTTGGGAAACCCTGTAGCTTCTGAAAAGCGTACCTTTTGCATGGTGTGCCGTACGGTGGGTGGTGTAGAGTCTTTGTTGAGCATAATTTGAGTCTTGACGACATCAAGGGGAGTTGTGATGGCTGCTGTGAAGAGACCAGCCACACTTCCACATGCTGCCCCTTCCAGTGGGGATAGTCGATGGCCCTGCAAAATAGAATCTTTTTAACAATAGAGAATTCATTTTGAATAAAAAATAAAAAGAATAGAAAAAACAATCCAGAATTCATCTGAAATCCAAAAAATGAGTTTTAAAAGGTTCTTTCGCATTATCGGGGAGAGCGCAACTTTTACTAATCCTAATGGAATAAAGGAAGTGTTCCTAAACTGTTTTTTACCAATTCCGAAACCAAAAAAAATTTACAAATTTTGATGAAAATATACAGAAAATAGCATTTTTCGACGAGAAATTGCCAGTTTTTGGTCAAAATTTCGACTTTTTGAAAAACTTTTGCAGATTGAGATCGTTTTCTAGTTGAAATAAAGTGATATTCTACTAAAAATACGCCAGATACGATTTTTTTGCGATTTCTATCTAAAAAACAAACCTCTTTGGTCCTGCAGCGCTTCAACGCCTCCCAGAGTGGATATTGGATGAAGGCGAAGGGGATCTCGCGGGCCACAGTACTTCCGAATCCTCGATACAACCCCCTCAGACCGTCAGATTGGATGATTTGCCGAATTGTAGAGGGGAGGGACGCCTGAAAAAAAAATAGAGGAAATCCCGGTTATCAACAGCAGATACCTTTCCGGCTGATGCCTGCATTCGTTGCTTGACAAGCTCGGTGGGCACTCGAATTGTACACGCGCACAGTTCACCCAGGCACGCCGAGTAGATGTCCGTCAACACGCCTGCAAAATGAATTGGACTCGAGTCATAAGGGTGTTTCAAATTAAATAAAGTTTTTTCTACTTTTTTTTCTACTTAACCAGGGTTGAAAAACCGCTTCGCGGCTTTTCAACCCTGGCCCCGTCCAGGACCTGTGAAAGTCCTTAATTTGCATGTTTCTTCCTGAATTCTAGCAAGAAAAAAGTGAAAACGGCTCCCCTGTCCCTTTATATAGGCTCTTCCTACTTCCGGCGCATGCTAATTTCCCCTAACAAACAGGGTTTTACAAAAACCTATTTTTAATAGCGAAAACCACAATTTTTCAAAATTTTTATGTGTGTGCAGTCGATTCCGGACCATTCTAAACCTATTGTCGTTTCTTCCCTATCCGAAAAACCCTTTCCCGAGGCTGTAGGAGCGGAACATCCTAACGGAAGTGCATGCAAATATACACACACACACACACAAAACACTATTTTTTTATATATAGTAGGATTCTTCGCATTTATAATTCAGGGTTCGCTTTGGCTGGGACGGTGTGAGACTTTTGCCTATAGTTGATCACCAGGAGGCGGCGGATCAGGTTTTCAGCTACACCATTCAATGGACATCGGTCTTCCGGTTCGATTCATGTCCATAAAAACTCCTGAGAACTTTTCTAGACAACCTCCAGGCCTCAATTTATGTAAATTTTAGCAAAAAAGCTGTTTTACGGATGCGGTTTTCCGGATATGTATCGGATCAGGCTGCAAAGCACCTGAATCGATGCATCTCACTCTCCTGCGTCGATGGCTACCCATAAAACCCCCTTAGAACTTTGTTAGACAACCTCCAAGGCGGTTTTTAAGCCTGGGTTTTCTCCCAGCCATCGATCTGTTTAAATGAACTACAATTAATGAAAAAGCCAAAAGAAAACAGCATAGAATTAATCTAATAGCCGAATAGAGTTAATAGTATTATTAAGCCAACTGCGAAAAATTAACTAAAGGGTGTTTATGCTAAAAAAAAGCACAAAAAGTCAGAACTCAGGCAAAAACAGTCAGGAAAACTCTCGAAACCCACCATTGCCACCCCATTTCTGTGCCTGTCGATAGGTGACGAAAAAGATGGCCGATCCGGGCGCAGATCCAATCGCCAACGAGCCGATTCCCCTAAAAACAGCCCAATTCTATCCAATTTCCTCTGATAAAATACCGATAAAGATGGCGAAACCCGCCGGCGGCCGTGAATCCCTGGGCACTTTGAAGGCGCGTCTTCAGCGTGTCCAACGGGAACAGCCCGAAATCGACGACGATGCCGGCAATCGCCCCGCACCCCAGCTCACGCCATATCGTTTGTTCGCCCGCCGTCGTCATCTACGGCTCACCATCTAAAATACAAGATCATAGATGTAAAAACAGGATAAACATAGAAAATCGCGAAAAATCAAACAAGCCTCTGAATTTCTCGCAAAAGGTACAAAAATTCGGAAAGTCTATTTTACCAACGAAATCGGCTCGATTAGCGCCAAATTTGAATCAATTGTTTCCGAAAACCATCAAACCTTGAAAATTCACTCCATTCCTCGATTTCTAACAACTTTGACGTTTTTTGGCACTAATAAAACGGCATCAGATAAATAAAAATAAAATCCAGCGGGTCCGATTAGCACAGGTAATAGCTACGCGCAAGTTCTATCGACGATCGCGTAATGAGGAATGTTGTGGAACGGGGCGGATCTGCGCACCGATTTTTCAATTTTGGGATTTTCCTTTTTTCGAAAAAATTCTGCACGAGCGCTGTTGATGTTTTTTTAGTTGTTGAAAGCATTCTTGGGGGGTTTTATTGAAATTCTGGGGAAACAGCTGCTGTTTACACTAACGCCTTCATTCTCGCCATTCGTGCGCCTCTATCGACTCTCTCCTCTCATTTCCCAAACCGTGGGAGTGATATCGTAGTCGACCCCCGTTCCCCCGGCCACAAACTCTACGCCGAGAAAATTCCGGCGGCGCACAGAAAGCGTTTTTAAATTTTGACATCTGTTTTGGGAACATCTAGAGCAATTTCTGCGCTCCCCTATGTTAGTCACCTTCGTTTCGATATCCTCTTTCAATCCCACGATGCTCATTCCCTTGCAATGTCCGCGCGCAAGACCTCTTCCTGCCTTGGTGGCTTATAAATAATTTAGCAGTAATACGTCGATTATCTCCTCCCTCGCATGTCATTCCGCTCCCGTAGCTCTGGCCTTCCAGAAATTTGAGGAAGAAGTACTTATTACGAGTCCCCGCATTCTTTTTATAGAAGTCCTTTTGCCGCGGCTGTTTATTAGCTTCGTTTCGTGCTCTCCCCGCTGAGGTTCAAAAGAGATTTGGACCTTTGTTGTAGCATTAAAACCAGATGGTTACAGTCGCTTCGCGACTGCAACCATCTGGCCTTCGGGCTACCCTACATGTCCTACTCCACCACATCCTTCCCTACCTCCTTCAACCCCCCCTGATAACCGAAATCCCCTTCAAAAACTACCTAGATACCTTCCTGATGGCTTCAGATACCCCCCATGGCTGAAATCCCCTTCAAAAACTACCTAAATACCTTCCCGATGGCTTCAGATACCCCCCATGGCTGAAATCCCCTTCAAAAATACCTAATACCTTCCTAGATACTTTCAATAATTTAAATAATTAATTAACATAATTAAAAAGTATTAAAAAGTATATTAAAAAGTATTAAAATCACTGAAAAAAGCGATCTGGGCGCGGAAAGGTCCTGGTGAAATGGGGGCTGGGGAAAGGAGGCGTGGCCTGCCGAGAGAGCCCCCCACTCGTTTTATTAAGGCTCCACTTTCAAAGTTAATTTTAATAATTTAAACTAAAAGTTTTTCATAATTTTTTTATCAGTTTGGGGGTTTCTGACCACGCTCTATCCGAATCCGAAGAGAGCTAAGCTCTAGCTCCTTTCCCCTTCGAGTTGAATTCGGCTTCACACACACACACACACACACACGGACGTCTTTACTTTTTTATTATAGTTGATCGTAGCTTCCGCGTGCCTTTTATAGTCCTGATTACTAGATTTAGATTTTATAGCTTGCAATCTGGTTATATTTTCTGGTGCTTATTAGGGTCTAGTCGTTCTCTCGTGATCTACTTTCTCAATGTTTTACATTTTTCTCTTTGCTTCTCGCTTTTCTTTCTGACTTCATTCACTTGTTCAGGTGCTCAACCAACCGTCGACTCCACATCGGATATGACTGCGCCAGTGACGAAACGCCCGGCAACGAAATGGGCCCAACGACGCACCCACTTGTTCATCACGTTCGAGGTCGACTCGGCCGAAGATGTGAAGCTCGACGCCACGCCCACCACCCTGCACTTTTCTGCCGCCAACGGTGCCGAGAATTACGACGTCGAGCTCGAGTTCTTCGAGCAGATCGACCCCGAGTCCGTGCAACGCTCCCAGGGAACCCGTTTCGTTGAGGTATACATTTTGTGATTTCGGAATCGAGAGTTTCGATAACCTCATGCTTTCATGGTGTGGGTTTACTCGGTTTGGAAAGGGCAGTGTTCTATCACCCTTTCGGCCGCCAAGGGATTGAGCGCGTCGCGGTTGTGCGCGTCCATGGTCAGGCGCGCGGGGTGGCCAAAGCTGTCCACTTCCGTCCTTTCCAAACCGAGCGGCGCCGTACCGTGTTCGCAATTGTGGTGTCGAAACTGTCGATTCGGTGCGACGAACTTTTTGGCGCAACGCTTAGGCTGAACCTAAGCGTGGCGCTTCTGCCCTCGCGTCGCAAAGTTCGGAAAGCCGGCTTTTTGCAGCTTCGTCTAAAAGCAATGTTCATCCATTATTCTTTCAGATCACGGTGATCAAGAAGGAGGAAAAGTGGTGGCCCCGACTACAGAAGAGCTCGGCCAAGTGTCACTGGTTGGCCACCGACTACAGCAAGTGGAAGGACGAGGATGAGGTCTCGGAGGAAGAGGGCGAAGAGCCCATGATGCCCGGAGGCGGTGGAATGCCCGGCATGCCTGGTACGTTTCGAGTTCTTTCGGGACTGTCCCGCTCTACGCCGTCTCGACACTTCGATGACATGCTACCCAGTGATACTGGCGGGCTGTCGGCGCTTTTTGAATGCTCTTAGCGCGTAGCTACCTGAAAACGTAGAACAGCGCATAGACCTATCGCTACGCAATGGTTTTTTTTTTGGTTCTTTCCCGTTACCCGTGTAGCCCAAATTTTTTCTTAGGATTGGGAAAGAACTGCTTTTTCTTGACCGGGATTTATGCGGCATCGAAATCCACCCATTATCCTACCTTATATAATTTTGGCGTGTATCTTTGTGTGTGTGTGTGGAGGTCAGTTTCGAGGCCCGATTTGAGGGCCTTCCCGTGGATAAAATGCTCTAATTCTCCGTCATCCGGGGGAATCGACCCTTCTGTTTCCGATGGCGTTCTCAGAATTTTGATAAAATATAAGTTTACAAAGTTAAAGCCGGTTTTATTCATTTTTGAAGGTACCTGAGGGCTAATTTGCATAATGTAAAATAATAGAAATGTCCTCATTTTTGCGAGTAGCGCGCGCGCGTGAGTTCGGTGGGGGGTCCGCAGGACCCGAGCTATCGGAAAGTCAAATTTGTCATGCAGAGGCCGCAATCCAGCGCCCAAGGCCCGCGAAGCGGGTTTTGGGCGCTGGTTTTCTTCTATAATATTTTCCATTCCTAATCTTTGTTTTTCAGGCGGCTTCGACCTGGCGAAGTACATGCAACAAGCGGGCGCTGGAGGTCTCGGCGGAATGGGAGGAGCCGATTTCGATGGACTCGGCGACGATGATGATGAAGATGGAATGCCGGACCTTGAGGATGCGGATGAGGATGATGATCAGAAGCCCGGGACGGCAGCCAGCCATGCCTAGACGCCCCCCTCCCACTTCAACGTCTCATCTTTTCAATCTGGTCCATTGATATTGCACACCCCTCATGGTGATCTCTTTCCAGCTCATCTTTTTTGTCGTTTCTCGCCCCCGTCGATAACAGAAATGTTCCGAATCCATCGTACCCTCCTTTTGCAACAATATCTAGCCGCCGGCTTTGGGTTCGCATTTTTTGTTTGTGATTTGTTACGTTGACCTTTTGGCATTCGAATAAATGTTTTACTGGCGGAATAAAGTGGGTGGATATTGCTTGAGAGTTAACAGACTTGGAATGACGTTTGATAGATGAGGGGATGTGGATAGAAGATTGGCATTTGGACGAGGAAGGGCAGCATTGTGAGCGGGGGATTGGATGATTGTTGTTGTAGATTGTGATGTTGGCGGGTGATGTGTTGTTGTAGATGATCTGACCGCGCGAATCTGAAATTTTCGCGGTTTTTCGGTATTTATGAGGGGCTGGGGCGCAAATTCGGAGGGTATTTCGTCTATAGCCTTTGTTTCTCGGGCATTTCGTTTGCTGATTTGGAAAAAATAACCCGACTGATGCAATTTCATTTCCGTTAAACTTTTTGGATTCTTTTCGGCGATAATTTTCGCTTTATCTACGCTTGGGCCTTCTCCTTAGCGCTACACTATAGCGTAGGCATACAATTAGCTGAATTTTTTCATTTTGTTTCGCTACGGCTAGTTTGAAATACCCCTGGCTAGCTTAATTGGCGTCTGAGAGCGCTGTGGATAATCTTTTAGAGTCGGAGCTTGGGCCCCGATTAAAATACGGCCTTTTTTCTCTATGATTCGCGGCACTGACCTCCTGTGACAATGTGGACATACATGACGCCTTTCCCCGGTATGCGATCTGAGATGACGTTGCAGTTGATCGGAACGACCGAAGGCCCGTGGGCAACCCGAGAATGTGCACACGAATGGACGCCACCCAGCGTGCGATCTGCAATAACAAGCCGGTACATCTGCTTTTTCGATGTGTTTTACAGGGCGCGCCGTAAAAAAAAATGGATTTTGCGTCCAATATCTGGCGAACGGAAGCGAATCGGACCGAATTCCGGCCATTTCGCCTATATTTTTCGCCATTTTCTTAGCTGCATTTTTGGCCAAAAAGTCGGCAATTTTCGAAGTTCGGATATTTTTAAAGATAGTTCTTGAAATTCTTCCAGAAAAAGCCCATGAAAAACCTTCAAAACGTGATTTTTACCAGGAGTTTCCTGAATTATGTTGTTAAAATAATAAAACATTTATATAAATTCCGAAAAATGGTGATTTTGGTCAAAAATGCGGCATTGAAAACGGTCAATAATTTAGGCGAAATGGGTTTAGGCGGTGGTTTTGGGCGAGCTGGCCGTGACTCCATCGGACCATCCAGAATGCTTAGATATTCTGGGGCAAAAGAATAAACACGTTGTTTTTTTAGAATTTTTAGCGACGACACTCGTTAAAAAATTTTGCACATTTTTAAACAAACAACTTGTGGGGATTTCTTCATACCCAGCATATTTAAACGTTCAGACATGGAAACGACGGTCCGATTCGTCTCCGTTCGCTTGATATTTTGGTAAGTCTTTACTTTACCCCTTCCCCCACAGCCGAACGGTCCCAAAGTTTTCGGTATTTTCGCCGATTTTGTCGGGATTTTCGATAGAGCGTCTAAAAATATACTATGAGTTTTAATTTGAGCCTAAAATAATGTAAAATAAAAAAGTTATGGCTAAACAACATTCAGGCTGGGGGGGGGTAAAGTAAAGTGTAGCCAAGTGTACATATCTTGCCACAAAATTCACTTTTTTATGACGCATCTGCGGTTTTGTGCCCGGGTCAAGTGAAGCAATGCTAATACCTGAGATGGGCCTTCAGATGGCTAGTCTTTCGATATTTCTTGGTGCATCCATCGTGATGGCAGATATGCTCGAGCACTTTTCCACCTCCACGACCACAATTCGGGCATTCACAGCGCAGGGAGGATGGCCGATTGGACGTTGGAGAGGGCCGAGACTGGAAAATCGCCGTGATTTTGAAGGGATGGACAGAGTTTCGATTTATTTGATCCGATCGAATTCTAGAAATTCGTAAATTTGTTTTAACTCGCTTTTTTAGTGTGTAAACCAGGCTGTTGTGGCAATTCTACACCAACCTAGCTCCCAGAAAGCCTAGAGAGACGATTGCAGAGTATGCGAGAAAATTTTAACGCCAAAAAAAAAGTTTTTTAGAGAAATTCCGGAATTTGGGGCTAATTCTGGCGGGTTTTTTCAGGTTTTTGCCGCTCACCTCAGAGAGTTCTCCCTCCGAACACCCAGAAGACGTCGATGGGGTTGGGGCTGAGCCGGGAGAAGCAGCTGAACTGCTCGGCGACGCTCTATCCTCCCACGGGCGAAATATTGGCATCGTCGAGTGGGGCGGGTAGGTTTTTGGATTAGTGGTTTAGGCACAGAATAAAGGGCCGGCTAGCAGAGGCAATTTGCGGACGGTTGGAGTAGAAAGTAGAGAATGGGTAATGACCGTATCGGCTGCGAGAGAATGCCGGTCCTTTCCATTCCCTTCCCAATACGGCCTTTCATCTTTCCGTCTGGCGGCCCTGATGAAAGGGCTTAAAACGGTGTCTCCCCCTCCCTTCTTATTTTCCTAAATAAGATAAGAGTAGGAGGGGGAGGGGGAGGGGGAATAGGGTGGAGACTGTCCCCGATTTATGGCCTGCCACCGACACATTATTCACCCTCAAAAATAATACCCGGAAAGGCGAAAAAAACCGCATTTAAACCCCCATGAAAACCATTAAAATAAGGAGAAAAAGAAAGAAAAAACCATGAAAAAGAGTGCTAATTTTATATTTGGTGCTTTGGCATTATCAGGGGGGGGGCTAATTTTCTCCCGCAACTCCAGAAATGACCAGCAACACAATAGCAAAGATTTTAATAATTCATAGTGAAATTTAGCCATATTTCAAGTCGAAAATCGATTCAAAACCTGGAAAACATTTTTACAATCCGAAATTTTGGTCGAAAATCGATTTTTTTTGGAATTCTTTTTAAACCAAAATTTGCCAAAAAAACCCACTGGACACTGTGAAAATTGGGTCTTAATGAAAACTTGCCTCCCCCCGATAATGCAAAAGCACCTAATCGAGAATCGGAAATAAACCGGGAAATGTCGAAAACTGTGCAAAATTAAGAAACAATAAAATCGAGCGATAATTCTTTATTGGGACAATAGAAAGTGACTAATCTCTACAAGTGGTTGGCTATTTGTTTGGGGTGTTGATGTGCTGCGGCGTCTCGTTTGTATCGCCATATCCGAGTGTATTCCAGTCGTCTCGATCCATCAACCCATTCTCCATTCGACATTTGAAATAGCCACGGGCCAAATCTCGACATTCCGTGTTCTTTTGCTTCTTCTCGTGCAGGCAACACATGTAACTGAAACAAAAGCACATGTAAAAACACTTTCCAAAAAACCCAGGCTCTTTTCCATTATCGGGGGGGGGGGGAGGGTTAATTCTTTTGCCACAAGTCCAGAAGTAGAACGTGTTTTAATAATCGTTTTAGTAAATTTACGTATTTTTGAAGCTGGAATACGCTCCAAAAACCTTTCCAAAACGCGAAATTTTGGTAAAAAATCGGCTATTTTTGGTTGAAAAATCACATTTTTTGTATTTTTAACAAAATGTGTAACTTTCTATATATTCCGTAATACTAGAAGACATTTAGACACAGAAAAACTTGGTCCCCCCCGCTAATGCGAAAGAACCAAAAAGGTTTTGTGATCATCAAAAATGAAACTGAAACAGACGAATTGGAATAGTGCTACAAAAACGAGGTTCCGGGGGAAATTTTTAGCGTGCGGGGGGAACCAAAGTTTTCGCGGTCATTCTCTACGGACCTATAACAAAATATCTAGCCGATTTTTATAGCATTTTACATAGTTTTTAGATAGAAAAATAATAAAAAGTCCAAAAGGTACGAAATTGTTGAATTTTTAGTCAAAAATGCATGAAAAAATGGCCAACAAAGGGCGAAAAATTTTGAAAAATGTTGTTTATAACTTTGCAGAAATCAAAAACTACTAAAAACACTAGAAAAATACGTAATCGATCATCAACGGGTAGTTGTGGGTGGCAAAACAGAGAGTCGTTTCCCCCTGCTAACCCCCCGCTAACAGTCCAGAGCCATAGTTAATCACGGAAACTGAAAAAGCCCATTGTTTTGAAAATGTTTTAAACTGAAAGATTAGCCATTGTTAAGCGGGGTCCAAACTCGGGAAAAGTGCCCGTTTCGGCGCTAAAATACGCCCCACATCGTGGCCGTTGAGCAATGTTTGAAAGCTAGGCTTTGTTCAGAATTGGAAGCTCTATTGAATGGGCTATCTGTCACATCGCAAAACTCTTTCAACCGTCAAAAACTTGGTTCTATCGAAAAAGGCGCTCACTTCAACATGTCGAGTTTGCATTTCTTGTCGTGATCAAGGGGGAATGCTCCCTTCAATGGTGGAGAGACGCTGTGCACTCGATTGAATGGGCCCGCCTGCAAAAAAAACGAATTATTAAATTGTCTGGCCGGGTTTTTTTTTTCTGTAAATCGTTAACTCGTGGATTTCAGCGTTTCACCCTTGAAAAACATGAAAATCCTGGGTACGAGGCGAGAAATTACCAGAATTTTTTGGGCAGCGTTTTTTCGGGTCGGTTACAAGCAAAAAAACCCAAAAAAAGTGATATTTGGCGGTCAGAAAATGCCGATTTGTGAGAGCTTCAAATCTCGGAAAAAGCGCAACTATTCTAAGGTTTTTAACGTGGTAGTCACCACGCGAAAAAAAACAACAACTGAAAAAAGCGCTCAAAAATTCGCCCTGAACGGCGCGGGACGATTTGCAAATGTGGCGGTCAGCTTTCCCCCGAAGCGAAACTCGGTGAGCAGTTTTTGAGGGTTTTTGGTGGCTTAGAACGTCCGGCTCGATCGAATGGCCCTTATCCGATTGCAGGACTGCATTAGCACCAGAAAACAACCCCTGGTTACAAGTTTCCTCTAAAGCCAGCGCTTCAAAAAAAAGTTTCGCGGCGCAGGAGGGCAAAAATCTGAGTCTAAAATGACGGGGGTCGCGCCAAAACGTCGGCAAAACATTATTTTGACTTTTTTTTGGCTGTTTTAGGGGTTCCATAGATGATTCCACAGACGGCCAGAAAAATAATAAACTAAAAAAGGTACCTGATCGCCCATTTCTCTGGATCGTGGATCGTCAGCGAAAAGAAGAAGCGGAAGAAGTCTTCTTTAAATTCCACCAATTTCCCTGACGGCAGCTAAATTAAATTAAATAGAAAACTCCATCTTCAAGAACTCAAAAAAGCGGTCTATCCGCCCTCGAAAAGTATGAAAAAGGAAAAGAAATCCTCACAATATCAAAAAAATCTCCGGTCACAATTCAAATCGTAAATATTTATTATATGAATTGAGAGCCGAAATATTCTTCTATTTTTGTCGGTTTGTTCTATTTGTTCTATTTCCTCCTTCCAGCCGTCTCAGCCTCGTATCGAAGTGATTTCTCGAATGATTGAATCGGCATATCGGGCGAGGGCCATGATTTGTAGACGTGCTCGGCAATCACCCTGAAAAAAAACGGAATCTTCAAACACTAGGCGCGATTTCGGTAATGTAAATCTTGTAACAAAATTTTTCAGGTTCTTTCGCATTATCGGGGGGATTTTTTCTATTAGGCCAGATAAGCCCACTAACGTAATAGTCGGTATTTTAAGCGGAAAAACATCTAAAACCCCCCTTAAACAATGTAAAAAGTTGAAATTTTCGTCGTGAATCGGCCCTCTTTGGTCGAAAACACGATTTTTGGTATTTTATTCATCAAAAATTGTAAAGTCTTTGCCGTTTAGGAATAGTAAAATTAGAAAAAACTTTCTAGCGATTCATATTAGAAAAATCGGATGCCGAGAAAAAAGTTGCCCCCCTGTGCAAGATAATGCAAAAGAACCACAAAGCTTAATTCTGCTGTTTTACGCTCAAAAATCTTCAAAAAGGGCGTGTTTTGGGAAGAAATGCCAAAGCTTATTTGAGGAAAACCAAGCGGCTTTTTGCGCGATTTTTCAAGAGGTTTTCCAAAAATTCGAGCCGGCCGCCAAAAATTCATCACCGCTCACCCCATGATGACGCTCAACGCGGCGCCAAAGACGAGTATCGTCTGCCGAAGCTCGTTTTGACGCACCTAAAAAAGGAAGAATTACTGAAAAAAGCAATCCATTGGCACTGACAATGATTTTCGAGGGCCGCCACGATCTCAATCGGTCTCGGAAGAATTGTCCGACTCGTCCAACAGGGCCCATCTGAAAAACGAAACATTTTTGAGTGTCAATGGAGCTTCAAATTCATTCATTTTTATCACATCTTGTGCAGGATTTTTTGCAGATTAAAACGCAGTTATTGGAATCGGGAAAAGGTTAGCTTGAAAAAGTTATGAAGACCGGAAACGGGAAAAACTCGAAATTCGCTAGCCAGGGCAATTTCACCCCAAAAAAAGCTCATAACTTTTTACAGTCTTATTGTTTCGCCGATTCTTTAATGAACGTTTTCAACAGGGAAAAATTCTGTACCAGGTAAACTGTATCGGTGTTAAACGCCGCTGGACTGTTAGCGGGCGGGGTGTCTGGGAAACCACATTTTTGTTTTTTTTTTCGCCTACACCTGTCTGTTAATAATATATAAGTGTTTCTATCGTGTTTTTAGCAGTTTTATGGTTCCCAAAAAGTTATAAACCAATTTATTTTTAAATATTGAAAATGCTGACCATTTTGGCCATTTTTATCACTTTTATCTTATCTTATCACATTAAAATCAAAAATTTCGATGATCTTCAAGAGCGTTTTTAGCTAAAAAAGGGATAAAATGCTATTAAAATGGTTTATATTGCGTTATAGAGCCGTAGGAGATACTTGGAAAAATTCGCCCCCCCCCCCCCCCCGCTAACCGTCCAGTACCACAAAATAGAGCCAACCTTCGCGTGTCACTCAATCGAAGTCTTGTGCCGGTCAGTTGACCAAAAGATAGAATATCTTCTGTCGTGTAGTATAATGAAGCGAACTAAATAAAGCTCTCCAAAAGAATAACATCAAATATACCGATGGCAAATGGTGGTAGAGGGCAAAACGAAGACTCTCTTTCCTTCTCAGCGCCACGAAACTCGCGAAAGAAACTCCTGAAAAAAGAATTTTTGAACGTTTTTGGAGATGTTTTTACCGAAAAGGGCAACTTCGCAGTAGATCAAGGCCCGAACGCCTTGGCCAAGGGCTTTGCCGGCCAGTTTGACTTCTGAAAAAATGGTAATAACGATCGTAAAAAAAGAATGGACGTTAGTTAGAACGAAAATAACTCGCGACGAAAGCAAATTATACGAAAAGTAGCCTGGTATATTGGTTTCGCACGAAAACCCGAAAAACCAGCAGTTTTTTTGAGATTTTGGCGGGATTCTAGGTTTAATCAAGGTTTTCGGGGCTAGGAAAGATTGCTGGGAGCAGCTGATGCTGATCAGGAACCGGAAACTCAAGCGAAGTTGAGACGGAGATCACGCTAGCGTATGCTGGAAAATAAGAATGGCACATTTTCTGGGGTTTTCTCTTTGCGTTTTCATAGAACATCGTAAATAATATAGAAAGAGTCTAAACTGTAGCCCAAAATAATTTTATATAAAACACTTGTAGCAAAAAAAAGTTTGCACTAAAGTCTGTTGTTACTTTTTAGATATCGTGATTCCGCAGTTTCTGAAAATAGATTCGGAATCGGCGTGAAATTCTGCACAGCATTTCGTGACACTATTGAGGTGAAGGCGCTTGAACTCAGGTCCGTGCATCCACCCGAAATCCACGCGGATAGCTGCCGGAATTCCGATCTCGTCCGAGAGCAAGGGGAAATCGACCGGATTTCGATTGGAAACCGGGCGGATATCGACTGGATTCCACCTGTCCGCCCAGAATCCACCCGGTTTCCAATCGAAATCCGGGCGATTTCCATCTGCTCTCGGACGAGATCGGAATTCCGGCAGCAATCCGAGTAGATTCGGGGTGGATGCACGGACCTGGGAAAATAGGCGAAATTTCAACTCTTGATCATCAAGAAATATTGACGGCGTTATCAGGCCGATATCAGGCAAATTCTACACAGAAATACTACTGTTGTGTTTAGAAATTTACCCAACGTGAAAAGGCAACAAATTGAGAGCAGGGGGGGCCAAATTGGAAGGGGAACAATGATGACCAGATATTCTCATCGGGTACACGCGGACGGGAAGATAAGGAATAACACGGGGGAACTTGTGTATTTACGGGGGCGGGTACAGTAATCCAATACAAAGTGTTTTATTGCTTCGAAAAAACTACCGGAACTGGATTTTAAATAAAAAACGTTTTAGGAATTTGAAAAACGATTCGGACACTGGAATTTTTGCGATTTTAGACGGAAAAACCTGGTTTTCGACGAAAATTTGTGGTTTTTCTAAGTTCGCGAGTACGTTTCATCCTCCCCCGCTAATACACAAGTACCAAAAAAGGGAACGAACGAAAGAAATGGGTGGAGAAAGCTCAACGGGGGGTGGATGGAGGCAAACGAAATTGAGGGGAATTGGTGTAGATACATTTGGATGGGAAATGAGCAGAAAAGAACAAGAAGAAGAAGAAGAAGATGAACAAGCTGATGAGGAGGGTCAGTCAGTAGATGATCTATCCGTCGAACGCCTTGCAGATGAAGTGGATGAAGGTGGCGTCGAGGTGGGCGGCTGATTCGGATGAGCGGATGCCGTGTCGTTCTGACGGGTAGATCTGCAACAAAAATCATAGCGTGAATATTCAGAAATAAATCTTTATATTAGTTTTCTTTCCTATATTTTTTCTTGATATAATATTTTATATTATTTTCTATTTGGACTGCTTCGCGTGCGATTTTGACAGCGCTAAAAACGTGCCTGCAGTTGATATGGTTTGCCGGCCTTGAGCATCGCCTCGATCAACGCCTCCGTGTGTCGAAAATGGACATTCTCATCGAGTAGACCGTGGACGATCATCACACGACCCGGCCTGAAAAATGCCCAATTCAACAAATCGGTTCTTTTCTGTTATCGGGGGGTGAGAGCAACAATTTTAAACGGCCCTTGGTAAGACTCTACTTTACCCCCCCAGACGCCCCTTTTCTCTGCGCCCTCTCCCCCAGGCCTACTATCTCTTCGCCTGCGCCCTCTCCCCCAGGCCTACTATCTCGCCTGGTGGGGGGGTAAAGTAGAGTTTAGCCCGGCCCTTTTAGCAGAATCTAACTATATTTCACCTAGAAAAACTATCTAGACAGCCTCCAAACTTTTTCAAAATGGGAAATTTTAGCAAAAATCGATATTTTTAATCAAAAGTTGATTTTTTTTTAATCACGTTCAGGAATAGGACTTTTGATTGTAGCACAATTTCTGTATTAGAAGAACGATTAAAAAGAACAGAAAACACACTCATCGGGCAGCTTGTCGACGACGCCGACCACCGAGCACTGTTTCAACACCGAATCGAACAGCGGATAGCCCAGATATCTAAACACAAATTGATGAATGAGACGGCTGGCAAGGCGGCGCTTCGATACGGGACCAAGTCTATTCTGTGCTGAATTTTTCCCTGATCCCGAATCCGTTTTCGATTCTTGCCAAAAAGCTCGATTAAAACAGTTACAACTATTTTAAAGGCGCTCCGAAGTCAAAATTTGCGTGTTTGGGTAGGGAACCTATTGGACATAAAAGGATTGTCGCCGAAAGCGAAAAAAACCAAAAATATTCTAGTAAACCCGAAGAGTTCTCGGGGCGAAAACGGCTTTTTGAGTGGGGGCGGGGATTCCATGTCGTAATGCCTTGTGAGGCACCCAATCACCCGATCTCGGTCATTCTCTCATCAATTTTCATAATTAAAACGACTAGAATCATCAAAATTGCGTGAGGATTCCAGAAATGACTTCAGAATTTCGAAATTCAAGCGTTCCCACGTTTAAACACGGGGCAAAACATCAAGCGGCGCGGCTGCGTTGCGGCGGAATCTGGCTATTCGCGAGGAATCAACACGCAGGGGGCTGTGGACCAGATTTCGGAACCCCGTTAACGCGACACGAGCTCTAGGCGGATCTACAAGTGGGTGAAATTGCCCAAATTCGGAACAAAATTCTAGCCAAAATCGGACTTAAAGGGCTGCCGACGGCATGTGTCGATCCCCCCCATCAACAAATTGGCAAATAGCCAATAGGGAAGAGAGCGCGCCCTGGGGAGAGGCGCAGAGACATTTTCTTTCCAGCGCGTAACCGATTGATCATGCCGTCGGCATCCCTTTAAAGGGCAGGTTCAGGGACGTTTTTTTGGAAAACGCAAAGTTTTTTGCCGCGGCCGGGGGTCGAACCCGGGCCCTCCGCTCGGGAGGCGCGGATGCATACCAGTCAGCCACAGCTACAACCTGGCGAGGGGGCGAGGGGCGCCTCACGCCGCAAAGGAGGGGAATGGCCTGTCCCAGCACGGGCAGGCAGTGCGCGCGGTCCCTACGTCCATAGGGTGTACACGTTGGGACGAGTACACGGCCCCTCCCTGAACGTGCGCTTTAAAAGCGCCATCACTTACTAAATAGAGCTATTTGCCAAAAAATGAAATCGGATTTGGAATCATCGAAAAAAAAGCTCAACAGTTGGGTATCAAAAAAAAGAAACCTCTCGGTGTAGGCAGTATCGTAGAGTCTCCAATCCGTGACAGCACCCCCAGCCACACATGCTCGATAGATTTCCGGGTGTTTGGCAATTGACATGAGCGAGATGAAGCCACCGTAGCTCCAGCCCTGGACGGCCACTCGGGTCAAATCCATGCAACAAGTCCGCAGAGCCACCTGCAAATCCGGAACCTTTTGAAAATCACGTTTTGGAGCTCCTGCAATATCGGGGGGGTGGGGTAATTTTTCCCTAAAAGCTCAGAAACACCCAGAGCGTAATAGTAACGATTTTAATGGTGTTTTTAGAAATTTTGAGCAATATTTTAAGCGGCAAATTTTAGTTGAAATCTCTTTCGTCGAAAAATTGATTTTTTTTGTCTTTTTAACTCAAAATTTGTAAATAGCTTACCAGGAGACGTTTTTTTGTGTGAATGGAGTTTTGAGACAAAACCAGGCCTATTTTGTGCAGAATTTTGCGCTGATTCCGAAACTGTTTTTCATTTCTGCTAAATAGCTCGATTTAAAAAGTTAGAGCAAATTTAAGATCATTTTTAGGCCCAGATTAGCCATATGCCATGATGTGCTACATTTTTGTTTTAATGTTCAAAATTATTTTAAGTAGCCTAACTTGTAGAGAATTTTTTTCTGATTCGAATGGTATATTTAATTAGTACGCTAGTTCCGACCGACAGTCACTTACAGGGGTGAGAAATAGGCTGTTTTTCACCATTTCCCATACAAAAAACGGAGGGCATACCAAGTATCGTCAAATTTTTCATTTTTTGACAATTTTTAGTTAAGGGGCTTATTTGATAGAAAAAAATTTCTGAATACGATGACGAAACTTATTTTTGGAAAATCAGCCGGGAAAAGCAATATAATGGGCCTTAAAGATGGGAAATTTTGGGCTAAAATGATCTTAAAATTGCTGTAACTTTTAAATTGAGCTATTTAGCAAAAAATGGAAAACAGTTTCGGAATCAGCGCAAAACTCTGCACAAAATAGGCTTGGTTTCCACTCAAAACTCCATTCACACTAAAAAACGTCTCCTTGTTAGAAACACTTCCTCTATTTTGTATTGCACAAAATTGGATTTTAAGAAGAACAAAGTTTGGTCCCCCGATAACGCAACAGAATGAAAATTCTCACCTCATTCAACGCCTCGATTTGATCGGCCACCTCGACGGTGCCCTAAACATGGTTATAAACATAGAAACGTCAACAACCGACCAGCGCCACTTTGAGGGGTGCCTCGAAATCTTTGCCCCGATTCTGTGATCCCCGTCCGTCGGCCAGCAACACGCAGAACCCCAGATCCGAGAATTTCAGCAGCTGCACCCAACTGAAACAATGATATTGTTAATAGAATACGCAAAGAAACCATTCGACAATATTGCCACATTTGCCGTGCATTTCACAGCCTTTTTAGCTTTTCTCAAGCGCTCATTTTAGGGTTTTTGTGTATACCCGGGGTGGGGGGGGACACCAACTTTTCTCCTGTCGGTCCTGGTGGGGATAATAACGAATTATAAAGTGTTTTCACATTGTTTTTAGCAAAATTTAAGCCGAGTTGAATCGGAAATTTTTTTCAAGTTAGAAAAACGCTTGAAAAAGTCGAAAATTTGGTCATTTTTGGGCTGAAAAAAATCGATTTTTCGACCTAAAATTAATCTTTTTAATTAAAATTTTGTAAAGTTTTTATGCTTAGGAATAGCTATAAACAGTTTAGAAACAATTCCACTATTTATGTCAAAAAAACTCTAGGCTTGGGCCGAAAAAAGTTCGGTCACCCCCATTTTTGAATTTCGGGCTCCGTGTTCGTGCTCAAATTTATCGCGCTCATCGAATCAAATATCATGATCATTTCCCGGGTATTAAAATTGGTCACAGACGGCAAAACCCCCCAAAATCTGCTGAGAACGAATCAAAAAAAAACTCCAAAACGGCAAATCTTTAATTTTCTATCTCTGAAAGTACATACATGGCCCAATCGGCTCGAACCGTCTGAATGCCGGGGCCACCGTAGACATGGTGAACGACGGGATATCGAGTGCCCTCCCGGTCTGTCGCATGTTCACGGGGTCGCAGCTGAAACCGAGCCATCAATTAAATGAACAAATAGAAGTTATAAATTAAAATCACAATTTGTAAAACGAGAAAAAGTGCCATTTTGGCAAGCGAATGGCGGGGTTCTTTCGCATTATCGGGGGGTCCATATCGCATCAACGAACCAAATTTTTTTCTAAGGATTTTATTTTGCTAATTTTATAGATAGAAAACGTGTTTTTACACTGTTTTTAACTATTCCTATCCGTCAGAAATTTCTATTACAAAAATCCTAAAAATATCGATTTTTCCACCAAAAAAAGGCCAGTTTTTGACCAAAATGTCGGCTTTGAATTTTTTCAAGGTTTTTCCAGTTAAAATCAGTAATAATTTACTAGAAAAACAATGATAAATTCCTATTAGGTTACTAGCCAGTTTTAAGGTTAGAAAAATTTTATCCCTCCCCCCGATAATGAAAGAACCATTATTAAAGCCCAACAAAAAGAACGAGAAACGGTCGTATTTTGGAAAAGCGACTACGGCCATCGAAATGCTGCAAAACACGATGAAAATCACGGACCAGAAGGGCGTAATGTGTCCGTCCACTATTCCGTGATTTGTAGTCGATGAGAAGGGGACGGTCGACAGCGTGGAAACGACGCGAAATCGTGCAGCCGATCGTGTCCAACTGAAAAGACACGATTCACAAGGTAAAAACAGGTAAAAACAGCAAAAAGGAGACTTTTTGAAACGACACATCGCTCAATCGAAAGAGTAGGAAATTCTGAAGAAGCCCAGTCTCTCCAAAAAAAACAGCCCGAAAAATACGGGATCCGAGAAAAACAGCTTCAAAGGTGCTGCGGCAGCCATTTTCAAGCTGTTTTCTCGTGTCTAGCGATTATTCAGCCGGGCTTGTCCAGAATTTCCCGCTCTTTCCGATGAATTTTGCTGCGTTTCAAGCCGTTTCTTCGTTCGCCGCTCGAATCAGCACCTGGCAAAGCACTTCGGAAGTGGGCAGCCCTCCGTCGGTCGGGTAGTGAAGCACGTGGAATCGGAAAAAAAAATTGTTTTTACTGAAAATTTTTCGAATTCCTTATAGCGAAATTGAAACAATTTTTATGCGATTTTTTACATTTTTCTACATAAAAAAGTTCATTAAATAATTATAAGCATTACGAAAATTCAGCAAATTTATCAAAATGCCGGAAAAAAAGGTAAAAATTCTCGAATTTTCTATTTTTTTCAAATTTTCAAGCAATCGCAATTTTGCAATCTATTTTCTGGCGTGTTTTTCGGAGCGAAAACAGCAAAAAAACCGCATTATTTTAAGCGACGAGAAAACCGAAATACAAAACTTGTTGGTACCTGCACTGCGGGGGTCCATCCAAATGGGACAGCCAGCAGACGAAGCCCACGCCCGGGATCAGCGCCAGACTCGACGCCGTTCGCTCGTTTCTGCAAAAAAAGATATAGCTATTTTCGGCCAGGAAAAAGAGGGTTGCTCACTTGTAATTCCATCCCTGCTCGGTGAGGCGTTGAACGGAACGCTGTGTCGTGTCACGATATCCCGTCACGCAGCTGCAAATTCATTGAAATAACGCGACAAAAATGCTAATTCCAACCTCAAAAATCAAAAATACCATCTAGACACAGAAAAAGGGTCCTTTCGCATTATCGGGGGGAGGACCAAAATTATTTTAATGATCCAATTTTTAAATATTCACTTTCTAGCAGAATAGAGAAACGTTTTTTGTACAGTTTATTTTGTAAAAATGTTATTTTTATACGAAACGTAGAAACTTTGCAAATTTTGATGCGGAAAAATATAGATTCTTCGACCAAAAATGGCCAATTTGTGGACAAAATTTTAGCCAAAAATTTGTTTCTAAGCTTTTTTTTGTTTTTTTTTAAATTCAAATTTCGTCAGTTCTACCAAAAGTCCTAAAGCACTAGACATTCCTTGATTTGTAGAAAAAGGCTGGGGGGACCCCCCCGATAATGCAAAAGAACCGGAAAAGACAATGGCATTATGATTCCTCTGCTTTCCCCAAGGATCAAAAATGTTTACATGGTCATCTCGAGTGGCCCGTTGATGTTGGCGACGAAGAAGACGTGGCCACGCACCGAATCCACCACAACACCCGCCGATTTGCACACAGACCTAGGAAAAGGGGAATTTACAACTTTTTATCGTAATCCGACCACGGCGAACATTTTGAGATACTCCACGCATTAATAGGACCTATGGGCGAAGGGTTATGGCCGGGAGGGAGGCCAAGATTTTAGCCAAAAAATTACCATGGTCCGTGGGTGAGTCGGCGCTCTTGCGTGGCGAGCAGTTGGCCGGTTGGTCGAATCTCGGAGTCGAGACGGCACAAATGGCAGTCGGATAGCGACTAAAATGGAAGGAGACAGTTTGGAGCACGACTTTCGAAAACGGACCTCAGTGCCGTAGATGAATGAAATGTGCTGGGGATGCTCGAGGGGCAACGGCTCGATCAGATTGTGAGACTGAAAAACCCAGAAAATACAGATAAAATGCAATTATTATTATTATTTTTGTATTGGTACTTTGGCATTATCGGGGGGGTCACTATAACATTATCAATTTTCCATTTTTACCTATAATTTTTAGGGGCAAACAATAAACAAATAAAACCTAGAAACAAATTTTTGGTTAAATTTTCGCTCAAAAAATGGCCATTATAGGTCGAAAAATCGATTTCATTTTCACGTAATGGTAAGTCTTCTAATCGTTTTTAGCAGATTTTAACTATATTTGAAGCGAAAAAATAATTAAAAAAAATCGGAATAAATTTTTCGTTGAAATTCCGGTCGAAAATCGCTATTTTTGCATTTTGGAAAGAAAATTTGTGAAGTTTTCTACGTTTAAGAATCGTAAAAAATTAGAGACATTTACCATATTTATATCAGAAAAACTGGCTCGTTAGAAAACAATTTAGTGGACCCCCGATAATGCAAAAGAACCGAAAGAAATGACAGACATTGAGCCACGACTCGCAGAACTCGTCGAAGAGGATGAGTGGAGATGTGGGGAGACAGGCCAACTCGGAACGGTCGAATGGAGGCTGCAAAAAGGGGGGGATGAGAAGGGGTGAAGCGGAAGAACGAACCGAATGGCCCTGCCACTCCCATTCGGGGATCAGGATCAAGCACAGCTTCGTTTGGGCACGATTCGCCGCCTGGATCCACACCCTGAAATCATATCATTGTACCCATGAAGCGCTCTCGTCGAAAAAAAATGATAAAAACACAGAAAACACTCTAAATATTGATTTTACTATTTTTTAAACCACCTTTTTTGGCTTGAATTTTAATTTTGAATGAAATTTAAACCCCTTGAAAAGATATATTAAAAATAGTTTAAAACCAGAAAAAATCCCTTAGAAGTAAAAAGCAACCGGGAAAAGTTATTTAACCATTTTTCTAGGCTCCATAAATACATTTCCCCTTAAAAAAGCTTTATTACTTTTAAAGTATTTTACATTATTGGTTCTTGTGCATTAGCGGGGGGGGGGCGGACTTTTTCTATATTTCCAGAAATGTCTAGCAAGTAAATTCGTGTTTTTTCGTGTTTCTCTTAAAATTCAGCATTATTTAAAGCGGAAAAACAATAAAAAAAAAATGAACAAAAACTACCCACTAGATTTAAATTTTTTTAAGCGAAAATTTTGGCCGAAAACGGGGATATTTTTGTATTTTTCATGAGTTTTGTAAAGTTGTTACATCTGGGAAAATTAAAAAAAAACAGTTTAGAAGCCAAAAAAATGACAGCTGTATTTTGCTTCGTATCTCAGAAAACTCGAATTTCTGAGCGTGCAAAAACAGCAAAATCCGGCCCGCAAACATCACGAAACCCTAACGTTTTGCCGTCGGACAAGAAGCCGGCTCTGGCGAGATATTCGAGCCACGGGAATCGATCTTTCAGCTCGACGCGCAGCCCACGATCTTCCACCTAGAAAAACAGGGGTTAACAGGGTCGAATTCCCCCCGTGGATACCATGTCTCCGTTGATGAACAACATCCTGAGACTGGAATGGGCATTCGGACTGCCGGCCACCGGGTATCTCATCGGATCGCTCGGCTCTTTCCCAGGGCAATCGAATGTCAGTGTGTGCACGTCGCCCTCGTTTACCTGGAAAAAAACACACGGGTACTGGGCTATTAGCGGGGGGGGAGGAATTATTTTTATTTTTAAAATAATTAAACTAATTTTTGTGAAATCATCCTTATTTTGAAATAAAAAAGGGTTTTTCATTTGTGCGTAGGGCCGTGGAAAAATTAGTTTCTTCCCTGGCACCAGGACAGTGCTCAAAAAATAAGAAATTTTCCCTCCGGATCCAATTTTTGTAAAATCGAAAAAGGTAAGGAAAAATTGACGCCCCAACTCCCCTGAAAATAGAAATCTAAAAATTTGCAAAAAATCGAAAATTTTTACCTTTTTTTGGTCATTTTTTGCCTAAAAATTAAAAAATGCGAAAATTTTGATTGTTTTTGTATCTAAAAACTCTGTAAAAAGCTATAAAAATGGTTTGTATTTCGTTATAGGGCCGTAAAGAACCACCGGGAAAAATTTGATTCCCCCCGCTAAGAGTCCAGAACCCCGAAAATCGCTTCAAAAAAAGAAAAGGGCCGCGTTGTGTACCTGTTCATAGAGCAGCCGACTACACGCCGGAGACCACCAAATGCCGTTGAAGCGGTCGAATTCCTCCTGGAAAATGGGCAGAGACAGGTGTTTCAGCTGGGGAGGAAGCGAGTGATACCTGTGTGACAAATGATGGGACTCCATTGGAGATGTGGCGCTCGGAGTGCGAGACGAAGATTGGGCGACCCGATCGGTGCACGTGGATTTGCCGCTCGGCGACGAAGGCTATCTGAAAGAGAGCTCATATTTTTGGGCCTAAAATCGCCAGATGGCAGAGAAAAACCGGGTTTCATGCGGCTTTTTTTGGCATTTGCAGTTTTGCACAGCGGAAGTGTATTTATAAGGAATTTCTGCGGTCACGGTGTTGTTTGGGAGATTTTCAACACAAAAAACGAACCCTGGCTCACTAAGAGGAAAAATCACGTCAAAACAAGGTTTTCTGCCTATTTTCGCGCTCCGGATACGAAAAATCAGCATCTAGGATTCGCGGTTCTTTTTCATTATCGGGGGGCAACTTTTTCGTATAAGTCCAGAAGTGTCTAGTAAACTAAAAAAATTGCAAAAAGTTTTTAGCTGAAATTTTGCTGGAAAATCGGCCGTTTTTTGCTTCAATAAATCAATATTTCGCGCGTTTAAGAAAGAACCAACGGCATTTTGCGAACAAAGGATTCCGCCTATTTTCGAGGTCCCTAAAAAAGCAATCCAGTATACGTAGTTCTTTTGCATTATCGGGGGGGGCAAATTTTTTCCATAAGTCCAGAAGGGTCTAGTAATGCGAAAACGTTTACACAAATTTTGCGCTCGTTTTTGGTTGTGAATCCGGCATTTTTTTGAACTTTTCAATACAAATTTGTAAAATTTTTAGGTCAGGATCAGCAAAAAGACTCTAGAAAGAAAGCAGCCGACTTTTGTAGGGCAAAAACCGACCAATCCGGGGTCGATCGGGCAGAGCTGGGCGTCGAAGACGAATGCCTGGCCCTTCGGATCGCCCCAAACACCCGTCAGTCGAGGGCCAGAAGGGGGTGCACCATCGAATGCACATTGTACGATCTGAAACAGACCATGTTTACCCGTTTTCCGGCTTCTATATCGGCTCACCTCGGCGCCAGTGGTGAAGAGCAGGGAATAGGGCGCTTGTGAGTGGATCTGGAAGTCGGAGATGCCGGCCACGGCCGAGACACGTTGACGCTCACATTGTAGCGAGAATTCGGCGCTGAAAATCAGAAAGTATCAAAAACTTTTCAGGCCTAAAAAAGACCCTTTCTAGTTCTGGGAGAGTTATAAATTCTATTTTTTTTTAGTTTTAAAAACCCCAGTTATTCTGGGATAATTTTAGCAGCTGGCGCTGAAAAACCATATCTCAACCCGTCAAACCTACATTTACCAGCAAAATCCATCGTATTTGGTAAATTTATGATCTTTCTAGCGACTGTGTAACTTCAGCTAACCCTCTTTTCCTTAACTGTTGCCCTTACAAAGAAGAATTTGGCAAAATTTTGCTGTTTACAGGCCGTAATTTTAGCGGCACGTTCTCGGGACCCTAAACTACCGCAAAGAAGTGATTTTTGGCCTTTTTACCCAAAATCTAAGGCTAGGCTAAAACATATTTTCCTTCGCCGTTGCCCTACAAACAAAATTTGGCAAAACTTTGCTTGTTCCAAGCTTTATAGATTGTAAAACCCTTTTTTTACAGTCTCAGAAGCAGCGCACAAAACTACCGCAAAATAAGTGAATTTTCGGCAATAAAAGCGAGCCTCAAAGTCTTTTTCTCATCGCAAATCGGACCTCTTGCTGTTCCGAAAATGCTCATGCTGCAAAAGCGGCTTCAGGACGACGACTTGGCTGGCCGAGGGCCCGATCTCGGCCGTCAGGATCGTCTGCTGGTTTGATGATGAGGGGGTACCTGCAAAGAAAGGTAATGCACTTCTAGATTCAATTTTATACCTAGGGCGTAGACTGTACATTCTCCATTGGCGTTTGCTGTCAATGCGAGCCGAGAGAAGGGGACGCCCAGCGAGGAACGAATCTGAAAAGGCCGATTTTCTTTCGGGAAAGTCAGCTACTGGCTTCAGCAAGATGTCCGCCATTATAGCCAGAAAAACCGAAAACCTGAGAAACTCTGAGAAATCCGCTTGGAGGGGCCGCTTTGCTTAATTTCCCCCCGTCTTTTTTGCGCTGAGTTCGAATTTCGCCGAAATAGGGCCCGAAAATCAACAGGATGCCCCGGAATTCCGACAGGAAAAACTTTAATAGGTTTCAATTTTCAGGGTTATGGCATTGTCAGGAACGCGGGTGGTCGTTTCCCAAGGCAAAAATCGCGATTTTGAGGCGAAACCGGGGTGTGGGTACATATATTAAAACTGATGGATCCAAGGGTTTTGACCCACTACTGCTGAATTCGAACTCCGGCAGCAAAGCGCGGCCCCCCAGCTAGCCTGGCGTCGCAATCGCCAATTCCCAGCTGGATTTCTCAGAGATATAACTGATATATCGATGTTTCTTCTTGAAAATAGCTGCCGCTATAACGTACATCAGCCCGTATCTTCTTGCAGTGGCTGATCAACTGGGGCCACGAGAAGCGGGGGGTTGGCGACCGTCTCCATGTTGGTGTCGCCTCATGTGGAGCCATCGGCTGAATCGAAAATTTTGCGACGGAAATTTTTAAAAATAAGATCACGGTTGTTTCGCATTATCGGGGCGGGGACCAACTTTTTCCTAGAATCTAATTTTTCAAATCAACATAGTCGATGTTGCTAAACGGTTATTTACCATTCCCAGGCGTCCTAACTTTGAAAATGGATTAAAAAAATGCCAAAGCATCGATTTTTTTGGATCAAAAACGGCTGCTTTGCCGAAAATTTCGACTTTTTACGTTTTAGATTGGGTTTTCTAAATCAATGATAGTTATATTTTACTACGCAAATTTCCTATTAAGCTACCAGACAATTCCAAACTCATAAAAAAATTACGCCCCCCGTTAATGCGAAAGAACCAGAAAAGCTCCATTTTTTTTCGAAAAGCCCTCACGCTTGCCCTCGACTTGCCAAAATTCCAATAGCCATTTCCGCAAAGATATCAATAGTGGAGCCGCTCAATCGGAAGAATGGCAACCCATAGCCATTGCTCAAAACAATTTATCGACACACAGAAACCGGCAAAATGAAGGAAGATATCACAAACCCGTCGTGAGAACAGCCAACAAAAATACATAGTTAATTACAGACATAGCATTGTTATTAGAGGTAATGAATCGATGGTCATCATCTTCTGTGGTAGGAGGATGGCGGGGCGAATTCGTCCTCGCGCTCCTCGCGCTGCCGCTCGATCCACGCGTTGTAGGTGCCCTTGCCCCGGTCCCAGGCTCGATCGCTTTTCAGCTTCTTCGCGTACTGAAAATCACGCAATTTATTAACCTCCCTCATATTTGCAAAACTTCCAAAAAATCTTTTTAAAACACCATTTAATAACTAAAAAAAACTATAAAAATTTCAAATTTTAGCCTAAAATCGAAATTTTTTTAACAGATAGCAATGCAATAGCAAGTATTTTCAGTATTTTTCGCAAATTCAGTTACACTTGAAGTGGAAAAACGATTCACAAAACTTCAAAAACTGTCCAAAAATTTGAAATGTTCTTAAAAAATCTAAATTTTGGGTTTTTCATCAATTTTTTGTAAATTTTTCTAGCTTTCGGAATAGTAAAAGTCTTCTGGATTTTGATATGGAAAAAACTAGACGGAAATTCGAAAAAACGAACCGTCTCCTCGACGGTCTCGTTGATTGGCAGCGGGATGTCGAGATACGTTGGCTCGGGTGCAGGTGGCGGTGACGGCTCTTTCTCTTCTAAATCCAATCGAATTCGTCAAATTAATTGCCAAAAACCTGGAGGCAGCCCAAGTCGTTTCCTCAGTGCGGCCTTCCGTTCATCGCGCTTCTCCCTCTCCTTTTTCAGCAATTGCGCCTTCTTCTCACGGGCCCTAAACGAGAGATACGCTCAAATTCGAAGGCAAATTACTTGTTTGTGGCCTCGCTCAATTCATAGAGCTCCTTGATCTTGGCCTGTCGCTTTGCCTCGTCTTGTGATAGATTGATGTGGGAGACACCGTAGACGCGTTGATCTGAAAATACGGCATATTAGGCCGATTAGTCTGTCTCAAAAACAAATATTCTACGTCAGTTTTATCCAAAAAATTTCGCATTATTCGAGTTTCGAGTACAAAACCTCAACCGACGACAAATTCACCCATTTCAAAACCACTCGAATTCCGCAAGCGAAATATCGAAGTCGGTTAGGCGAAAATACGCAAAATAACAGGCCGATCCGACAGCCTAAAAGAAATCTTCTACAGCAATTTTGGCGCTCAGTGCAATGGCACATTTTTGGACGAGAAAAATGCGCTTTACGGTACAAGATAAACAAGATAAAAGCGGCAAAACTTTTCTTTTGAGGCTTTTCAACGGTTTTTTTTGTCATCAAGATCCGTTTCTTCAGGTTACGAGTGTCAAATTTAACCCCACAGCTCACAAAACTAGCCCAGAAGAATTATTTTCAGCCTGAAATCGGTCGCTGTTTTTTTTTGCGACGATGGGGCCTTTAACTAAAAAAAATTCGACCATTTCTACCGACCTTCCCCGGGGTTATATCGCTGAGGTTGGACGGGCTTCCGGGGTGCGGCTCGGCTTGTTCGTGGGCGATCGTCCTCTCCCTCCCATTCATCGTAGCACGGCCCAAATTCCCTAAAGCAACGTTCAGTTCGTAAATAGAATTATACCGATCCTGCTTTTCATCGAGTTCCTTCTTCTTCAGGTGAAACTCGACCATAAACTCGACGGGTGTATTGTCGTTGTGCGTGAAGGCGACTTCGCCATTCTGCAGCTTCTCGTAGAGCTCAGATTTCTCCTAAAGAATGTCTCACTCAAAGAGCGCCCCAAGCAAACGCGTACCCGCATAATCTTCTGCTGTTTGGCGCGGGTGGCCTCGTCTTCGGCGCGCATTGCCGCTTCATGCTCGGCGATGCGCCGTTTCCGCTCGTCGGTTTCGGCTCGGAGCCGCGTCTTTTCATCCGCCTTCACCGTCAGTATACCGCCCTAAAGCTCGGAATTCGTTTTAAAGCATTTAATAGCGTCGCGGAGTGGTTTTTAGGTATTTATGGAGTCTTACGATGTGATATAGCTCATTCGAAAGCGCTTCAAATTCCAAGACCGAAATACCATCTGAAAAGTTGCTACGAAAGGGCCGATTTGGCCCATGCTGAATAATTTTTTCCTCGAAAATCCTTAGTCTTCTGCACTTTTTACAAAAATCCATCCTGTACTTTAGAATTTCAAGCGCTTCGGAATGAGCTACTCCAACATCACTTAAAAACCACTCCGTGTCAGTAGCACTAAAACCCGTACCGCCTTTCCAATCTTAGCATAATCACCGGTGCCGACGGCTCCGCTGCCTCGCTGCGCCACCTCGCTCTTCCGCTTCAGCAGCTCATTCTTCAGGTCGAAGATTGACGACACGTCGCTGGCGCCCAGCTGCTTCGAGTCGGGCTTCTTGGGCGCATCGTCGTCCGGATCCATCTAAGAAGGAGGTAGTAAGAAATACGTAGGTGAATAGGAAGAGCAGAAGAAGGCAGCAAAATTGAATACAAGCAGTAATCTTCGAAAATCGGCGTTGAAAAGCGCCGAAATGGGGGCGTAAAACCCGAATTTCTAGAATTCCGGAAGGTGACATTGCCCGAAAGCTCGAGTTTTCCCTTTTCGCTTCTATCAATAACCAACGTGGCAATTCATCTAATTTTACTTTCTACTTACTTGCGGAATACGATTTTTTTTGAACTTTTCGAAAACGGGGTAATTTTTCGGGGGGAAATAAGTTCGGCCTTATTAAAACATCATGCTCAAGATTTTTACGGTCTACTTAGTTATAAGTTATTATATATAAAAGAAATTGACAACATTGATACGAATCAGAGGATTTATTATAGGGGAGAGAGAGAGAAATAGTGGGGGAATGGGGGAGAGCGTGCGTTGCGCGCGATGTCTGGCGCTCTCTCGCTAACAGCCACTATTTCATCCCCATGGACGGGATAGATGTTCGAACGTCTATTTTCAATTAATATATAAACTTTTTATGGTTTATATATCGGTAATAGGGAATTTCTATCAACTATAATGAGTAGCGAGGGGTGTATTTCGAGGGGGCTACATGACAATCGGCACTGACGCCCCGCCGGCGCTCTCCTTTTCTCCCGAGGGCTGGCTGGCTGGGTGGGTGCATCGACACATCTCCCACAACCAAACACAACCACCTTTCGTCTGTTGTTCTCTCTCTCTCACTGTCTCTCTCGCTCCCTTTTCTATCGCCTACCCCACATCGAACGATCAATCGCCCACCATTTTACCAGCACCAAATCATTTCGCCCCGCTTTTCCGGCCCACCAAAAACAGTTCAACGCTATTTCTAATCGCGGCCCCACTTTTCTTGTTCTAAAAACGCTTTCGCCGGCGTAATTTTGCGGACTTGTTTCGAAAACGGTATCCCAGATTGTGATTTTTGGCCTATTTTCAGGTTTTCGAGTGTAATTTCTGACCAGCTTAGCCTCATGGCCGGTTCAGGCGCCTTTTTGGTTGATTGGACATTGGTTCAAGGCTAGGGCTTGCCTGAAAACAAACCAAAATTTCAACCTAGGCCCCGGTGAATAAAACCAACGGCCGCCAAGCGAGCCAGAAAGCAAAAACCCATTGCAAAACTTCAATACTACATTTTCTTACTGATTGCATGTTTTTCAACCTTCATTTCCGGCGTCATTTCCCTGAATGACCTATTAATTTGGCCACTTTCAAGACAAGCCGAGTGCCGCTTTCGATCGCTCCAATGATGGGCGGTCGCAAGATGCACCCGATCAGTCATCGAGTTCCCCCACAGGTATCCATTTTCCATCCCTTATGACGCGTCGGCTTTTCTAGACGGCGATGGACGAGAAGTTCATCGAGCAGATCTGGGAACGGCTCCGCTCGTCTATCCGTGAGATCCAGAACAAGCGCAGCAACGGGCTCTCCTTCGAGGAGCTCTACCGCAACGCATACAACATGGTGCTGTAGTTACACTTTTTTCCGAGTAGAAATTAGGAAGGAATGCCCGACGAAAAAGGCCGATTTTTTACTTTTTGGAAGTTTTTAGTTGATTTCCAGTGGAGAGAAAGTTTTATTTACTATTTTACTATAAAAACTACGAAAATATTTCGTATTAGGCAGGTAAATTGTTATGAATCAAGCCGGTAGTGCGAAAAAAGACGTTGAAGACGGGAATGCTAGAAAAAAACCCATTAATCTTCCATTTTCAGGTGCTGCACAAGAACGGGCAAAAGTTGTACCAGGGCCTTCGCGAGGTGATCGTCGAACACCTCCGCGTCGTGGTAACCATCACTTCTCGCGACGTAAACCCTTTTTTAGGTCCGTGAACCGTTCGCCTCGACGTCGACGGTGCTGAAGGGGATGCGGGCGGCCTGGCATGAACATTTAACGGCCATGGTATCTTGTTAAGCCTTATCAAAGTCACACGCGACGCGTTTAGAAGATGATCCGCGACATCCTGATGTACGTCGACCGTGTGTATGTGCCGAACAACAACGTCGAGCCGGTGTACAACCTCGGGCTGTCCGTCTTTCGGTGCGTCGCCCTGAACAGCCGGCCGACGCGCTCCAATTTTTGTTTCCAGAGATGAGGTGGTGCGGTACAACGGCGTCAACGAGCGGATGCGCCGCGAACTGCTCGACATGGTGGAGGGCGAACGGCACGGGGACACCATTGATTGGTGTGTTTTGCTAAAGGGCAGCGTCGGCCGGCTCGTTGTGCTGGTTTATCATTGCTGATGCCGCTGCGCTGCTTCCGAATTTGGTTTTGAAAATCTGTGAAACGACCGGCATGATTCCAGGCACATTTTGAAGGTTTTAAATGCAAAAAAAAAGAGTCAACGATGTCCAAATTCCGAGAATTTTTCTGTTAGTCTTGCAGTGAAAGCGCCGTAGCTTTGTCTCGAGCTCTGCCGCCTCTTTTTGCTGGTTTTTGACTGACACCTGTTGCCTATCTTGTGCAGAATTTTACACTGTTTTCCGAATTTGCGTAGAAAATTTTCGACGCGATCAGATTTTAAAAGTTTAAGGCTTTTCAATGCGAAAAATAGCCCAAAATGGCCAAACTTTGTGAAATTTTTTTGTGACTTTGGTTTTGAAAGGCTTTATTTTAGTTTTGGCTTTCTCAGACCGTTCGTTTCGCAAATTTTGGAACACAGATTCGGAATCAGTGCGAAATTCTGCACAGGATTGGAATTCCTACGCGTCACTTTCAGGCTGCTGGTCAAGGACATTTGCGCGCTGCTGGCCGCCATCGACGTCTACAGCGCCGAATTCGAGCTGCCGTTCCTCGACGAGACGACTACTTTCTACAGGTATAGCGTCGTGTTTCAATTTTCATGCCAATCCCCTTTAGGCAAGTGGGCCGTCAGCTTCTCTCCAACAACCCGGCCACCATCTACGTGCGAAAGGTGAGGAGGGGGAGGCATCGTCGATTTGCCTCTTCATTAATTACCGTTTCCCCTTTTTCAGGTTGAGCAGTACATCACGGAGGAGACTGACCGTGCCCTGCGCTACCTGGAGCCCAGCACTCGCGAGAAATTGCTCGAGGTACCGCTTTCGGAGCTGTTGAAGTTGGGGACTCAGCCGGACGCCTGCCGCCTGATCAGCCGAATAGCCCGTTTTCTGCCCCAGTTTGGGCTTCACACTTTTAGTCTGAAAAAAAGAACCTGGATTTTGTAAATATACGACACTAATGGACAAAACTTCACCGAGACACGCTGAAAAGTCGGCTTTTCGTGGTTTTTTGGTCTCAATTTAAGCTTTTGCCGTCTGAAAGTGTGAAATTCGAACTCGGCGCACAAAACGAGCCTGAAAAACGATTAAGCCGCGCCATCGGGCACGTTTTTTAGCGCCCAAGCGGCTGCCGCTTTTCGCGAATTTGCAATGTTTGCAGGGGCGCGTCCTGTCGCCAGTCTTCTCTCACATACCCCGCTTTTTCCAGGTGGTCGACAACGAGCTGATCACCGCCCACCTGCAGGAGCTCGTCGAGATGGAGGGGTCGGGCGTGGTGGCACTGCTCAACGACAGCCGCTTCGACGAGCTGCTCGCCATGTTCAAGCTCATCAAGCGCGTCCCCACCGGGCCAGCGGTACGCTTGGCGAGATGGCGAAAACCAGTCGAGGCCGGATAGGGGGATCGTGCTCCTCTGCACTGGTTTTCACTATCTCGAAACGCAAAAAAAAATTGGAGGATTTTGGAGTAAATTCGGCTAAATCAAGGCTTCTGACAAAAATTGTCATTTTTTGTCATTTTACGAGGTGCTCTTTTGCCAGTAGTTTTTCTGGGTGTAAATGCTGGGTTTTGCGTATCAGATAGAGCCTTTTGCAGAGCTTCTGCCGGGCGGTGACGACGTGGGTGCGACAGCGCGGCGAGAACATTGCCGACCCCCAGTCCCAATCCGCCGACATCAAGGCGTCACCCGTCGTCTACATCACGGTCAGTGCATCGGTGTGCCTTAGATGCCATTATCCCTCCGTTTTTTTTGCAGAAACTGATGGAACTGAAGCAGCAGTGCGATCAGCTGCTCCACCGCTCGTTCGAGGATGACGCGACGTTCAAGAACAAGATCCACTCCGAGTTCGAGACGTTCATCAACAAGAACAGCCATTCCCCCGAGCACCTCGTCACCTACATTGACGACAAGCTGAAGAAGGTCAGGGCAGCCCCGCGTGTGTTTTCTGTATCTGTGTCTATCTAGCTCTCTCTCTCTCTTTCTCTCTCTCTCTCTCTCTCTCTCTCTCTCTCTCTCGTATCATGTGATTCTTGTCGTCCTGTCTATTTTCATCGTTGATCGCTGTTTTTTTCTTTCTTTGCGGTGGCGCTGCGTTGAGAAAGAGAGCCTTTGAACGCAGTGCCTGGACATTGTGCTGTCCCCCGGTTTTTGGGCGCGCCTTATAGCGCCGCAACATTTCCAGGGTGCCCGTGTCCTCGACGATGCCGAAATTGACGTGGCCATCCAGAAGGCGATGGAAATCTTCCGATTCATCAACGACAAGGACGTTTTCGAGCAGTGCGTTTTGTCGATCCGATTTTGCGGCCGGGCTTTGCGTGGCGCTGGCACGTGCGTGAAGGCTCTTCACGGAGCTCGTGGCTTTAATTTTGTCCGGTTCTTTCGCATCACCTGGGGGGAAACCAATTTTTCTTCTGAGGGTCCAAGTCTTCTAAAATCAATGGCGGAAATGTTTTCCAAGCTATTTTTGCGATTCCTAATGGTGCAAGCTTTACAAATTTTGCTTCAAAATCGGAACTAGGGATTTTTCGAGCAAAAACCGCCTTGATTCAATCGAAGTCCGTGCTCTCCGCTGCAGCCCAGCCGCTTTCTCGTCATTTTCGGTGTCTGAAGCTAACCCTATGCCATTCAGCTACTACAAACGCTCGCTGGCCCGCCGCCTGCTGATGGACCGGAGCGCGTCGAACGATTTTGAGAAACTGATGGTGCGTGTGTGCTGGTTTTTGGCCTAATTTCTTTTTTTGCCGTTTCAGGTGGGCCGTCTGAAGACGGAGTGCGGCTACCAGTACACGCAGAAGCTGGAGCTGATGTTCAAGGTAGAGCTGCCCCCCATTCTAACACTTCTTTCTCTTTTTCTTGCAGGATCGTGAACTGTGGCACACGATGCAGAGCCAGTTCCGCGATTTCCTCAACGATCACAATTGTGTGAGTTGTCGAGTGGAATATTTTGACTATTTGCTTCTTTCTTTGCAGGATCGTCGTCTCCACGACCTGCAGATTCGTGTGCTCACCTCGGGGGCATGGTCGGCCCAGCAGGCCACCCAAGGATTGCCGTGTCGACTTCCACCGCTGGCCGAGCAGTCATTCCGCATCTTTCAGGACTTTTACTCAAAGTAAGCAATTTCCCCGTCCGATGGCTAAGGCCCGTCTTTTCTTTCCAGGCAACACAACGGGCGCAAGCTGGCGCTCTCGCCGAATTTGGGCAACGCCGAACTGAAGGCCATCTTCTACTCGACGCAGCCAACTGCCGGCTCGGATGAGGGAAGCCAAGTGGAGTCGACCACCTCGTACGACGCCACCCCATTCCAACCATCCGCCCCCGTCGGCCGCTTCGAGGTGCAGAAGATCCTGCAAGTGTCCACCTACCAAATGACCATCCTCATGCTCTTCAACTACAAGGTATTTTGGAGCTGTTCGAGTTGCGGGGGGGGTATTTTTTTAGGCTTAGGCTTAGCTTAAAGCTTGATTCGACTTAGTCGAGGATGGATTTTCGCTTTGCTTGGGTCTATCCCTGGCTTAGTCTTGACCTAGAAGTCTTCAATAGCTACGATATAGTTTTTTTTGATACTTGGGTTTTTTATTTCCGATTTTAGCCGCTGTACACCTTCGACGAGCTGATCGAGGCATCCGGCATTGGTGAAGAGGACGTGGGCAAGACGGTGCAGAGTCTATCGATGGGCAAGCCGACGCAGCGCATCCTCGTCCGCCAACCGGCCGTCTTCTCGGCCACGCAGCCCGGGCCAAGCACTTCCTCATCATCTACCAACCCTCCCACGCGTACCATCGGTCAGTCTATCGCTTATGTGCTTGTTTTTATCAGCATTTCCAGATCGACGCGACCAATTCTTCGTCAACGACGCGTTCACGTCGAAGCTCTTCCGTATCAAGATCGCCTCGATCGTCGACCCGAAGGCCAACAGCACGGCGGCCCGACCCGGCAAATCCGTCGAGCCCGAGCTGCCCGATCAGGTATCACCCTTTTTCGCGCGTTTTCACCCGGCTTTTCCCTTTCAGTTGACCGACGACCGGAAGCACGAGGTGGAGTGCGCGGTGGTGCGCGTGATGAAGGCCCGGAAGACGCTCGACCACTCGTCTCTCGTCATGCAGGTATCCTTTTTGCGGGAATTGTGGCTAGGGAGCTATTGAAAGGGGCTCAGAAGTCAAAATTCGTGTGTGCGGGGATTGAACCTACTGGTCAAGAAACGCAAGGGTCACTGCCGAGGAGTGCCAGAAAAGTGATTTCATTGCGAAAAAACGTAAAATATTTGAGAAAATCCGAATTCATTTTGGGGCGAAAACGACATTTTGAGTGCGCGGCGATTACCTGTCGTAATGCCTTGTAAGGCACCCAATCTCTCGATCTCGGCGATTCTCTGGTCAATTTTCATAATTTAAAAGTCTAGAATGATCAAAATTTGGTGCAGATTCCAAAAATAGCATCAGAATTTTTAAATTCAAGCGTTTTCGCGTCCAAACAGGGGCAAAAGACCATGCGGCGCGGTCGCGTTGCGGTCGCATCTGGCTATTTGCCAGGAATCACAGCAGGGGGCCGTGGACCAGATTTCGGAGCCTCTTGAAGTTGGGGAAGGCTTTGGATCTAGGCTTGGCCTTGGCTTAAACTATGCTTGGCTTGTGGTTAGCTTAGCTTAGCCTTCCCCCAACTTCAATAGCTGCGCCATTAGTGTAGAGTTGCAACACGTACACGCTTTTTCCAGGTGGCCGAACAGGTGGCGAAGCGCTTCATCCCCACGCCGGCCCTCATCAAGCAGCGCATCGAGGCGCTGATCGAGAGGGACTACTTGGTGCGCGACAACAAAGATCCCAGGATATACAGCTATGTGTCGTGATTGACTTTTGTGTTTTTTTTTTGTTGGCGCCGCTCCCCCCTTTGATTTGTACCATAATTCTATAGTCTCGTCGCTCGCACTGTTAATTACGGGTCGTTCCCCCACCGCCCATTGTCGTGTATCCTCGTTCAATGTGTCGCCTGTATAGTCTGTAGTTTCTCTTCGCACAGCACCGTGTTTGCCTGTCGTTTTAATTGTCCGTCTCTCTCTCTCCTTCTCTGTCTTCCGTCGCGTTTTCGGGTATATCTTTTCGATTTCTATGCCTACACTCTTCTTTCTCATTAATGGTCGTACCCCTATTCGAATAAATGCTGCGTTGACAGGTCTCTTGGTTTGTAGTTTAGCGCGTCGCTCTTCGGTCACCACATTTTCATCAAGCTCAGGGCCCAACATTTAATATGATATTTTATACTTTTCAACCCCAAACACGGTGTCTTAGAGCGCGCACGGGGGTGGGAACGGGCATGGCCTAGTGGTCTAAGGCGGCGGCAGGCGCGGGGTGTTGGTTCGATTCCTCCCCTCGCCTAAAGACGCGACACCGTTTTGCTTTTTTTGCAAAACGTTTCTGCAAAGCACCGTCAATAAACCTTTAGCGAATTCCACGTAGAAAATTGGGCAGATAAGACGGTCCCGGGGCCGTAACCAGAAAAACTCTTGATTTTTGCTTCAAAACGTTTCAAGTCCTTATTTTTCCCGGCGATCGCCCAAATTCTTTGACCAAAATGTTCCCTAGAGTCTTCTCTATCGATCGCCAGGTGGAAAATTTGTAATTCTTTCTGGAAAAAAAGTCATAGCCTTTAGAAAGCTTTTTCCCATACATTTTGGGGGCCAGAATGGGGCGTGGCCTAGCCCAGTCCCTCCCATCCCCCACGGGGTTTTTTTTTCCGCGCACGGGGGTGCGGGGGGCGTGGCCAAGGCGGCGTCAGGCGGAGGGTCAGGGTTCGATTCCTCTCCTCGCGTAAAATCATCACATGGTTTTGCTTTTTTTTGCAAAATACTCAGAAAAGCGCCGACAACAAATCTGTGGCGAATCCCAGGCAGAAAATTAGGAAGATGAGGCCCTAACGAGAACATCGTCTTGATAATCGCTTCAAAGCGTTTCAAATCCTTGTTTTTCCTCGCGATCGCTGAGATTCTTTTACCAAAATATTCCCGGGGGTCTTCTCTACAAATTACCAGGCGGAGAATTTGTGATTTTTTCTATAAAAAAAGTTATAGCCATTAGAAGGGATTTTCTAATACATTTTGGGGGCGAAAAGGGGGCGTGGCCTCGCCCATTCCCTGTCTCCCTCTCGTGCGCGCCCCAAGTAAGGTTAAAAACCCCGTGCCCCTCGTGCGCGCTCCAAGTAAGGCCTAAGACGCCGTGCAAATACCGCGATTTCATGTAATGTTTGAAGTTGCTGGACCGACTAGTATCTTTATTCAACGGTTGGAGCAGCCAAGGAGATCACACAAAACATTTAGCCATCACATCGTAGGAGAGGAACCAGAAAGAAAAGAGCCGGGGGTCGGTCTGCTGTTCTGGGGATCCGAGGGAGGGAGCATATCCCACACGCTGACGGGCTCGGGGTTCCGGGCGCCCAGAGGACGCGGTCGTTGATGGCCTCTGGCGTCAGGTGGCGCCTCGTGCTCGGGCTTCATCAGCTTTTGCTTGGGTACAGCTTCTTGACCCGGGTACTTCTATAAATTGTTGCTGATCTAAACGGCCATTCTTACCGGGGTGGGGGCATGGCTTCTTGGGCGATCGCTTGATCTTGCCGGAGGTCACGCTTCTTCCGCTACCACCACCGCTGCCCCCTGTGGGTAGATATTCTGGGTAGACAAAATTCGCCCTACCAGATTTTGATGAGCGTTTCTTTGGCGAGACTTTCACCATCGTTGAGTATTATAGCGTCGAAAATGTTTTGTTTTGTATTGGATTGGTTGGTTTTCCAGAGAAACCGTAATTCAGGCATTAAAGTTTATTTAGGCAATCATTCCAATTTTTGCCGCGTTCAAATCACTGACTTTTCTCCGCTGGTTCTCGATATATCTTTCTTGAAATTTAGTGACCGACTTACCTACGTCTTGTATTCTTTTAACAATTCTGAAGAATCCGATTCACTTACTTTGGGCGCAACGAAATTTGGCGAAATGAAATGGGTGAAATGAATATTTGGCCTTTTCAGTACAATTTCCGCGTGGTTTTATTTGGAAAATTCTTTTAACTTTTGCGACTGCTTTGATTATCTTGGTTTTTCTCTATTTCCCACGTTTAGATAATTCTTATATGATTTAAACCCGATTAAAAGCCACATTTTAGAGTCCCGGATTCATTTTTGGTTTGTTTTTATCGATCCGCTTCTCAATTCTCTATTTTTTAAATATTTTTGACTTTTTAATCAAGTTTTTGCAGGGCGCACTCGGTGGTTGCCGCGAGGAGGAGTGGCAGGGCCGCGACGACGGACGGTGTGCCAAAGCGAAAGAAATCGCTGAACATCAAGGGTCAGTTTGTTCGGGATCGAGACGATGAACACGGTTACCCAGAAATCTCAGAATTATGATGCTCATTTAGATGCACGTATCGCCGGGCTCTACGATTTGGAGCAGACGATTGGCCAGGGACATTTTGCCATCGTCAAACGGGCCAAGCATGTCTTCACACAGGAGCAGGTCCGCCGTTTTTCCATAGGAAACTGCGAAAAAGAGAGATCTATAGCGTCGCCTAAAAACCCTTTTTTACGGCGGGAGAAATGTCTTTTTTTGAGGTTTTTCGATTGAAATGTGGGCGCCGAAAAGCCATCTCTATTGCAAAACTATAAAATTGCTATAAAAGCTATAAAAACCTAATTTAATTTTTTTCTGGCTGATCCGAAGTGCAAAAGACAGAAATCAGGGGATTTTTTTGGCTTTTCCAACTCTGGAAAATGAAAAAAAGGCGAAAATCAGCTTATTTGGCTTTTCCCACGCTGAAAAACGCAAAGATAAGCTTTTTGGAGTTTACTGCGCCGAAAAACGTGAAAATAAACCTTCTTGACTTTTTCTATGCCGAGAAAAAACACGAAAATTAACTTGTTTAGGCTTTCTACGCGGAAAAAACGCTCAATGGATTTTACTGCGCTGGAAAAACTCGCAAATAGACTTTTTGGACAGTTACTAGGCTGGAAAAACTCGAAAATGACGTTTTTCGATTTTACTGCCTTGGAAAACACGAAAATACATTTTTCTTTACATTTCCTACGCTAGAAAAAAAGTTTTCTAGCTTCTCCCCGCTCTTCCTACACCTAGAAACCGCCAAAATTAATCGATTCCGTTCAGGTGGCGGTGAAAATCATCGACAAGGACAATCTGGACATTGAATCGCGCGAGCACATGATGCAAGAGGTCGTGCTCACCCTTCAAAATGAATCTTCTTTGCCGTTTTCAGGTTCGCTGTATGAAACTGGTGCAACATCCGAACATTGTCCGTCTCTACGAGGTGATTGACACGCAGACAAAGCTCTTTCTCATCCTCGAGCTCGGCGACTACGATATGCACGATTTCATCTTGAAGTACGAGGAAAAGGTGCGGGATTTTGTGCTCCAAAAAAAAAACGGGGGGAAAACCCCTGAAAATGCGTGTTTTCGGTTAAAATAATTGGGGGAATATTTTGGGATGCCCTGAGCCACTCGCCCAACAATACTTCAGCCAAATTATCAAAGCCATCAGCTACTGCCACAAATTGCACGTCGTACATCGAGATCTCAAGGTGAGCACGAATTGAGGCTATTCCTCAAGGATCTCTGCTGCAATGCCCACTATTGGATCTTTCGCATTAGCGGGGGGAGGCTCTAAACCGTTTTCACTATTCTATAAAAGCCGTACAAATTTTTATGAAATCGTACAAAAAAAACGATTTTCGACCCCAAATGGCTGTTTTTTGCTAGAAATTTCGATTTTCTGAAGATTTTTGGATAGCTTTTCTGTTTGAAATATAGTTTTAGTTTATCACAAAGTTTATTAACTTTCTTTTTATTTTCTAGGCCTCTAGACCCCCCCCCCCCGATAATGCCCAAGAACCTAATAGTTTTCCCACTAGAATTTAATGTAGTAAACGTTGAGAAGGGTTCAAAATTTGGAATTCCGTCGAAAATGGTTTATCTGATAAAAAGCCCTTTAGTTCTGTTGTAGGTCGTCTATCCCCCCTGATAATGCAAAAGCTCCAATTAGCCAGAATATTCGCGTATTGTCCGTTTTTCAGCCGGAAAACGTGGTGTTCTTCGAGCAATTGGGCATGGTGAAGCTGACAGATTTCGGCCTCTCGAACAACTATGAGCTGGGCACCCAATTGAAGACGTCATGTGGCAGTCTCGCCTATTCAGCGCCAGAGATTCTCCTCGGTGATGCCTACGATTTCCGTGATGTCTTTTTCCGCTTTTCCCCCATGCCTACAACCCTCAAAATCTCTTTTCGACAGTACCCCCCATTTTGTTTGTCTTCCCCCCTTGTCCATTTCCATCCGGTTCTGCCGATCGAGCTTTATCCTTTCCCCCTTCTTCTTTTTATCGTTTTTTTCGCATTTTCAGCTGGCGAATAATTGTTGAGAATTCGTGCTTTGGCCTGTAAATACTAATCCTCATTATTCCCCCGTTATTTCATCGATTTGGCTTTAATTCCCTGCTCTCTCTCCCTCTTTCTCTCATCAATAAACACATTTTATCCATTCGTAAAATGCGTTGTCAATTCTGAAAATACAAAGGACGACGAGAAGAGAATGACAGCGTTTCGACGCCTGACCCCAAATATTGGGCTGTATTTCAAAAATAGCTTTTATATATCATAAACAGTGCAAAAATACCGCTTCGCGGCCGTTTTCCACTGGGCCCCCGTGTAAAAATCATGAATTCCCTTTCTTTTTTTGGAAGCCTGCGGCGCAAGAGCCAGCGTTCCTCTAAAATCTCTAAGCCTGCGGCGCTAGCTACCGCTTTTTCTCCCGGATTTAGGCTGCGGCGCGCGAGTGTAGTGTCAACAACCGAAGAATCCATTGGCCTGCGGCGCCAGAGCGAAGGCTGGACCCAAAATCCCACACACTGGCAGCCTAGAAATATGTTTTGTTGTTGAATTACGAAAAAGCAAAAAGCTGCGTTTGTCGGGGGATACGAACCCCCGATCCTCAGCTCGGTAGGCGGCGCTCGCATCCACTACACCACAGCTCAGATGGGAGAGGGTCGCGGGAAAGGGCTCTTCATACCCTGGCCGACCAGCCAAGCGGTGGGAAAAGGAATGCGACACCCCAACCAACTCCCACAGTCATTTTACAAAGTCCCACTTTCGAGCTGGAAAATTAGCGAATTTCATCTAAATCTAATTGGGTCAAGTGACGGAGAATTATTATCGAAAATTGCATAGTAGTTTTGGAGAATATCCAGTTTTTTTTGATGTGTTGGCTTTGAGGAAATGTTTAGAAAAGTTGCTGAATTGACCCCCGATCCCCATGAAAAATGACAAGTTTTTTCAGATGCCGATTCTCAGAAGCAAAATTTTCCAAAATTGTGTTTCTTTAGGATTTCCGGCGGAAAGGGGGACCAACTTTTTTTGGCCAAGCCTAAATTTTTTATAATTGGCGGTAACGTTTCTAAATTATTTTTAACTATGCCTACGCGTAAAATACTTTATAAACTTTCATTAAAAATTCGTTTTAAGTCAAAAATTTTATTTTTCGACATAAAACGGCCAAATTTTCGACGTTTCCAGGATTTTTTCTAACTGTTTTTGATAGTTTTGCTACTTTAAAAATATTTAAAACGTACTAAAACATTGTAAAAACACGTTATATTTGATTCTTAGGTCAACCGCGACCGTCGGGAAAAAACTTGGTCCGCTTCCCAGCCCCGGAAATCATAAAGAACCGGCATTTTTAAAAATTATTTTTGATGCTGAATCTACGGAATAAATAAAACACATTGAAAAGGTTCTCCTAGCTCAGAAACCCTAGAATTGAATTTCTCACCAGGAACCCGACTTTTTGGTCATTTCAAATTCTAAAATTAAAATTTTTGGTCATTTTTTCTCATCAAATGATATTTTTGTTAAACAAAAGCGTCTCTATCAGAAAATTTTCATTGGATCGTGTTGCCCATCTTTTATTTGAGTTTTCCACCAAATTTGAGCACGATCGGAGTCTGAAATATTGAGTTTTGAGTTTTCGCTAGCTTTTGCCGGTGTTTTCGGTTGTTTTTTTATGGCTTACCATCTGCCGAATGATACAAAATCGACTCATCAAATCGAATCTATCAATTGTAGAATTTTCTGAATTTTCTGATCCTGAAACATTTGCAAAAAAGGCGAGAAAAGACGGGGATTGGGGTCAAAAAGGGGGGGCCTTGTCTCGGGGAGAGATAGTGGGTGAGAGTGAGAGGACCCAGACCGCGAAACATCATTTTTCTAAGTTTTCAAATATTGAATTTGACCCACATTTTCGGTCCGATTTTTTTTCTTTTGAATTTCATCGCGTTTTCTTTGTAAATACGCTTTCAATAAATATTAATTCTTTTCAGAAAACCTGGGGAATTAGCCTGCGCCGCTCCAATGTGACGGGCCAAAGTACCTGCATCCGAAGCGACTCTGCTCGCGACGGTGAATCGTTCCACGCGCATCGACAGAAACGTTTGTTTTTCTCTTGTTTACACCATGATTTGATTTTACAGAAGAGATTTCAATGCGTGCCCAGCTCGAATCGACGACAAGAGAAATACGCTGGGATCCGGTCGATGAGACAGTGCTGGCTGATGAAGAAATTGATGTTGATGGGAAAGGCCGGAGAAGTGGTGCCGTGGCTGGAGAAGAGGACATTGAGACAGTGGATTGAGTGAGGCCCTAACATGCAAAGGTATTTTTTGGCATTATTCCCTCGTTTAATGGTGTCTTTTAAGGGAGTTTCGGACGGACTGCTCGACTTGGCTTCTCAATCGAAGGATCCGGAAACGGTCTGCAATGACGGCAATGTGCCGCATCAAGTGCCACGCATCCGGAACAAGCAATATAAACGGTAAGGTTAGTATTTGGGCACTATGAAGATTTGTTTTTTTCAGAACGGCTCCATCCGATTCTCACAGCATCGGAGGGCCCTCAAGAATCTTTGGGAAGGCCACATCCACCCGAACATTGCTGCGATTCGACGAAGCGGGCGAAGGAGATGAACAAGTTCAAGTTTGTCGTTTTATTTGATCCTTTATTGCCTTTGTCTAGGTCTATTCTGGCAATGCTTCCGTGTCCATCTGGCCGTCTTCGCATTGATCATCTGCCGGTCGCGAGTGTAAACGCAATTCCGATGTTCTCACAGAATGTTATCGACTGGCCAGATAGGAGGTAAATCTTTGTTTTTCTCTGCAAATATATTTCTTATTTAGTTACTGGGACAGATTGGCTGGAACGCATTCGGAATTCCGGCTGAGATTGCTGCTCGTGAGCGGGGAATTCATCCACGGTCTCGTCGTCTTTCTGATGTGGTGGTGGGCCGATCGGACATTAAAATCCCGACGGCCCCGCTTGAAGGACTTGAGGAGATCAAGGTTCGTATTTGTTAAGGCTAAGAGTAGTGGTTGTCCAAAAACAAAGCTCGCTATTCTAGGCTTCGCTTCGTTTGCTTCGTTAGCTTCGTTTTTCAGCTTCATTACCGGCTTGGCTTAGCTTCATCGCTGCTTTGCTTGACTTAAGTCCAAATTTAACCTGGTTTTAAAGGAAGCTTGGCTTAGCTTGAGAGAGACTTTGCATTACTTTAGATGAGGCTTATGTTTTGTTTAGTCTATACTTTGGCTTCACATTTTGAGACGTATTTTACACTTTTTTGCCAGTTCCGGATATAAATTCCGCAAAAGCTAAAGATGCATCTTTTTGTAGCTGTTTACTTTCAGTTGTTGCTATAAAATTTGATATTTCAGGCCACCCCCTTGCCACGTCGCTGGATGGCCAACGACGTTGTTCGTCCACGTGATCCACGGAAGTGGTCGGATGCGTACATCGCTCGTTCTCGGCCCGTCATCCACTGGTCGACAAGGAATGCAAGAACTCCACATGACCATGTCGGTATTCTGTTTTGAAGGCTTTTATGATCGTTTTTTGCAGATCGTCTACCATTTGACGTGTGGAAGGGAGTGACGGGTGCCCACCTCCGCTCATCATCTACTCCACCAAACGGGAGCGCGGGAGCGCGGTGAGCGCAATGATCGACGCTGCTTACCCGACGGCCCTGGTTGAGAGTGCTAGAAGAGATCAAGGTTCGTATTTCATTAAGCCAAGAGTAGTAGTTGTCCAAAAAACAAAGCTCGCTATTCTAGGCTTCGCTTCGTTTGCTCTGTTAGCTCTGCTTTTTTCAGCTTCATTACCGGCTTGGCTTAGCTTCATCGCTGCTTTGCTTCTGACTTAAG